CATTCATCAAAGCCAATTAACCACAACTAAATTTATAACCAAATATTGATTTTGCTTGTTTCTAATTTTATTTATTCATAAATTGATTAGCAACTATTAATGGCTAATCTGTTTTTAATTGAAATAATAAACATGGATTTGATTAATAGTATATTAATTTTATTTCTTAAACAAAACCTTTAATAGGTAATTTATCCACAAATTCTTATACTTTTTGTATGTTAATATTCTCATCAATGTTTTTTATTATCAATTTAGATTTTAAACCATCCTTTAATACTGTTGAACAGGGAATCTAAGAATATTATGATATCATAATAATTTGAGAAGCAACTTTATGTAATGATGGATATTATGAAGGTGTATAAACAATAGATTCAGAATCTGAACTCTCTTGAGGTACTATTTGATAATCATTTGTCCCATAATTAGATTAAAACATTGAATATTTTATTGATGGAGCCCAACTCTTCCTTTGTACTAAATTCAATTATCTTTGCTTATTATGTTTATAAACTTCAGCAATATTCTTTTTTGGAATCTAATTACTCATTCCATTAATTAAGGTTGTAAATTCTTAATACATTTATTATAAACTTTATATACAAATTTTTCTACATTTTTAACATATAATAATACGAATCTAATAATTTCTGTTCTACATTTTAATTTTTCATATAATTAAACAAAAAATTTATTAACAACACTAATAAGACTTATTATATTCATATATTTGTATAATTTATAAAACAAAATGATCAAATTATTTAAATTAAATAGTAAGATTGTTTAATACTCATCAATATTAAACAAAAGAATTGTAAAATAAAATAAGTTTAATTTGACTAAAAGTACTATAAAATCTTAGTAATTTTTAAAAAAGAATATTTCTATTATTATTTTTAATAATATAGACATATTACATTTTCTAAAGTTTAATTAATAAATTTTTAGACAAATATGATAATTAAATAATTATAATTATTATAAATGTTTTTCATTTAGACTTCAACTATTTAATAATAAGAATTCTTGTTTCATTACTCAAATTCATATTATAAAGTTGTTGATAAATTTAATAATTTAATTACAAATAATAAATTAAAATTGGTTAACTTTATTTGAAAAATTAAGGAACTCAATGACATTAGATTTGCATTAAAAAAAAATTACTTATTTTATTGTACTTAATAAGGGTAGTCGGCATATCGTTTCTATTATAAACTAAGAAATAGAATTAAATTGAAATTTTATTTTGATTACTTTCCATCTTTTGAGAAATATTTCCAATAAGATATTATTTATAAAATAATATATTAATCCTAATATTTGGATGAATCATTAAGTTATATGTGTTCTTCATCTGTCTAAAAGAAATAAACTAATATTACTAAACTCTAATTCTCAAAAATTGAATTTTATTAATAAAGATTAGAATTGGACTATGATTTTAAAAACAACATTTTATTTTTTAATTGAATATATACATAAATAATATATAAATATTGTAATTTTAATTACCCTATTTTCTAACTATTTAAGGCCATTTCTTAAAATACACACAGGTTTAAATCTTAATCATTTATTTATGAGATAAAAAGAATTGGTTGTAATATTATCTAAATTTTTCAATGTAATTAAATATATTATTCAATTCATGATAATTAACAAGTTTAAGATTCAGAAATAAAAGAGAAATTTATATAATTAATAAATATTTTTGAAATTTTAAATGTTACAAAAATTCTTTTATATGCTTTGAATGATTTTGATTATATGATATATGTATGTAAAAGTAACAATTAATAAAAAGATTAATGAAAATTAAGTACATTTTTTTATTGTTTGGTTATTCTAATTTAAACAATAAGATCAAAGAGAAATGAATACAATTAAAATCTTTAGATTAAGGTTGTAACTTTAAAACATTAAATTCTGATGAAGATATGTTAAGTAATTAAATTAATCATCATAAATTACAGTTTAAATGTGTTTTTGTTATTTCAATCATTTAATAATATTTACTTTATACTAATGAATCCATTCACTTTTGATAATTCAATACCACCACTTAAAAGAGTTAAAGAAAGACTAGTAGGAGATGCAATAATGAAAGTACATCAATGGAAAATGATTCTCCTAAATGGAATTCCTTAATCTGATGGTACTACTATGAGATTAACCCTGAATAAAGCAGCTGAGATAATAGGAATTCCTAAAAAAAGTTTAGAAGATTATAACTAACTATTTAAAAAAGTATAATTGCTGACAGATGTAAATCAATTTGCAAATGAAAAAATGGGTGTATTAAGAAATTACTTAAGAAAAAATTCGAAAAGACTCAAAACAATATTAAAAAATTAGAAAGTCTAAGAAAATAAAAAAGCAAAATAAAAAAATAAAAATTTAGATAATTCTTGTTTATAAGATAAATCAGATATGATTGGTTTATGCCATATCAAATAAGATGATGAAAATAATGAAATAGGATAACATTCAATATCAAATTAATCAAATTTTTAAAAATAAGATGAAACTTCAATGATAAAATTAGAAGAGGAATTTAATTTATTCAATGAATTTGAAAAAGATTATGAATCAGATCTAGAAAGTAATCCCTCTCCTTTAGGAGTAAATTTTATATTCAGAAATAAAAAAACAGAGTGTCATTAACATTTTGAATAATTTTGATTAAAACAGTTACATTTAGTTATTATAATTGATTGGTCATATATAAAACTTTATAATGTATACGTTAAATTTATAATCAAAGAATTATTTAATATACCATAAATATTATTACTTATATTTCAAATATATTATAATTTTATTAATTAATTCACTGAAAATGCATTCTTTACCAAGATTAACAAGTTAGAGTATAAACTGTCATATAAGCAATAAATCAGATTCATTAAATGGAAAAAGATTACATCTTGGAGAAAATGTTCTTTATAGAATTCATAAGCAAGCTCTATCAGAATATTTAAAGTCTGGAGTAATTGACTAGAAAATAGTTCAATTAAATTTACTTAAAATGAGTAAACTAAATTCATAAGATCTTTCTATATTAAAAGATGTCTATACATAACCTTAATCTAGTAGATTTGAGTAATAATAAGCCAAAAATATATTATCTAAAGTAAATTTTATTAAGTAAATCAAGATTAAAACCTAAAGAAATCCTGAAAGTGTAAATTCAAATGAAAAAAATTAAATTGAATTGAGTTAGGAAGAAATAGATTTTATGTCGGTTGAAGAACAATTGTACAATTTAATATATATATATATAATAGAAAACAATGTCTAAGATCTAAAATAAATACTTCTAAGGTCTTTAATGGAACATATCTAATAGATCCAACTATAAATGATCTTAAGAAAATTAATTTATAAGGAAAAAGATAATTACATAATTTACTTAATATAGAACCTAAGAAAAAAGTATAGAAAAAAACATCATTGTTACAAAGGTAATCTAGCATTTTAAATCCTTTACATTGTCGTAAACCATCTATTCAATTTATGGAAGTAGAAGATGTAACTGAATATATGTCATCCAAAATATTAGAATCAAAAGCTAATATTGATTAATTAGTAGAAAGATTTAAAAAACCTGAAATATCAGAAAAATAATAATATTTCTTTAGATTAATCTAAAATTGTGATTGCAAAGCATTAAATTCATTATTTTAAGATAAATCTTTTGATAAATCCATTATAAACACACCTGATGAAGTACTTTTTCTGAAAAAAATTATTTTAGAAAGGATTCTACGCAATTCATTTAGCAATCAAGAAATAAAATCCATTGTTATTAATACTTCTGTTAAAAAATGGTGCTAGAACTGATTTATTAACTAAGAATGGAAAATCAGTATAATAACTTAGTTAACTTTATCAAAATTAGGAAATTATAGAAATTCTAGAAAGACAAAAATATAATAAATGATCTAAAATTAACTAATTAATTAATTAATTAATTCAATTTTTCAAAAAATTACACATTTATTATTAGGTAATGTGCATTAAACTAAACAAAAATCTTATTCTATTACTTTCTTTGATGTTTAAATATTAAATATATTTAAATTCTTAATATTATCACAAACTAATAATAACATTTACATTATTACTTATAATTAGATTTGCTAATATTAATTTAGAATCACATTCATTATCAATACTAAATTATTCTTTAAAATCTTAAAGAGATAATTAATATTAGGTATACTCTTAATAAATTAAATATTTAAAATTATCATAACCAGCAAGTATAAAATTGTGATAATAATGTTAATAATTAATTGATTCCAACCATTCTTTTATTGTCGGTATTTAATTAAAGTAAAGTTCAAGATTTTAAACTAAATTATTTTTAGAAAATAATCCCATTACTATAAATTATTTAGATATACTTATATTCATCCAATCTAACCAAAATTCTTCTTTAGAATCCTAACCTATCAATACCATACTTATTTAAAAGATATTTACATTGATTTGTGGATGGTAAAGAGTTGTACAGACTTACATTATCATAAATTCTTAAATCAATAAAATTTTAAAGATAGCGTTCCTTTAATTGGATATCTATTAAAAATGAAGCAATAGGTTAGAATTTGACACTTTAGATTTAGGATTAAGATTCTTATGTAGAAATACTTGAATCCAAAAAATTATTTAGAGAATTACTTAATTTGGTTTAATTGATTGGAATATTAGCATCTAATTTCTTAGTTTCATTGAATTAATCCTTTGAATCATCTATGAATGATAGGTTATTCTTCAATCTAGATTAAGCCTCAATTAACGCATTTTTGATATCTTCTTATTATTAATGCATTTCTATTATATTTTATTACAAGTTTTCATTTTTTAATTTCAATTTTTCTATCTCATCATTTTATATAGAGTCAGACTATACTTTTTTATAATTAGTTGACAATTTAGAGTCAAACTTGAGTTCTTAATTGATTAACATTCTGTTATAAATTAAAATGAAATAATTATTTCTGAATTATAGGAAGAATAATGAAAAGAAAAAAAACACATATCAAGTACTATCTAAATAAAAATAGTATTATTAAGATTTAATTTCGGAATGGGGAGACAGTTTTATAAGATGGGTATAATGAGAATGGAAATAAAATAAAAAGAGCCAATCTGAATTTTATTATTCCTCTTAGGACTTTTAAGGAAAATATTATTTATTTTCTCCTACTTATTTTATAAGTTTTCTCATCATAGGCCTTATATTTTGTGGGAATTTTATTGGTAATACAATAATGGTTAGTTGATTTACATAATTTTATAAAAATTAGAAAAATGGATTAAATGGTTAATAGTTAAGAGGCAAGAGTATTAAAATAATGGGATGAATGTATTGTAAATAAAGAGATAATTGAAAAAATAAAAGAAAGATTAAATAAGCAAGATTAAAGTGAAAGTAATTAAAGGTAAAAGAGTAAATCTTAAGTTGATAAAAACTCTTAAGTAAAAAAAGTGGAGAATGTATAATATTAGAAAAAAGGAACTATTGTTTGTAAATTTTATAATTATTTTTAAGCTAATGTATCTATTCCATTCTAAAATATATCATATAAATAACAATAAAGTAATAAAAATATTAGAACTGATAATGCTAATAAATATAATCAAATGAGTCCATTGATATACAAAGATATGGCATTGAAATTAAAATAAGTTTAAATTATGGAGGATGATCCTTTAATAATTGAAATAAAAAAAACAGTTCCTAGTATGTTTTTAAAAGATTCTACACCAACTGCATAAAGAATACCTATAAATGAAAAATTAAAGAAAATGGAAAAAGATAAAATGAATTTAATTAAAATCTAAAATGTTGAAAATATAATGATAGGTGATGTGATTATATTAGAAAGAAATCAAAGAGCACCTTGTGATATACTTGTTTTGCATTGTAATGATGAAAACTTTTGTGTATAACATTAATTATGTGATTATTCATCAACAACAGTCAGAAAACCAGTTGTTTAAAATAGATGTAACATATAAAATTATATTATAAGCTGATTCTTAAAATTTAGCTTAATTTAAAAAATCTTTGACAGGTAATATTGTATGTCATGAACATAATTTTTAAATTAAAGGGTTCTTTTAATTAAAAAAGGATCCTTAATCCAGAATATTTGGATTAGAGAATTTTATTTTTTGTTAAGAAAGATTATTGGCCACTCCATGGGTATTGGGAATAGTAGTAAAAGTTGGAAATAATTGTCAATGTTATGCTAGATTTTTAGGTGAACTTAGATTCTAAAATACATAGTTTTTACCATATTACATTATGGTTATGGTCATAATTATTGTAATAATTAATATAAACTTAAGATTTAAATAATAGTTTACAATTAAAATGAATTTTTAAGGAATTTAAGATCAATTACTTAAATTATTATTGATAATTGTATTTATTTGATTTTGATGGTACCTCATTTCTATAAATTATATTATAAAATGTGTAGTATTATTTAATTAAAAGGAATAGGAACTATAGATTAAAAATAGATTATGTCTTGTCATATAGATTAATATATAGATAAATAATATTTAACTGTAAGTGTAGATGCATTTATTGAATAATCCTTTTAATTAAAATGTATAATATACGATAATAAATTATGTGAATTTGAAGAACAAAAGTTTTTTTAATTTTTAATTTAAATTTGTTCTGGTATTAAAACATAAAGTGAAGTCAAAAATGTTGAAAAAGAAGGTATATATTTTAATTATAAAATTTTAAAGAATAAGAGGAAATTCAATAAGGATCACAAGTTATAAATTACCTTATGTAAAGTTCATGTTCAGACGAATTGATGAGTTAAAGAGAATGTATTATAAATTAGATTCCAAAATCAGTTGAAGGGAGATTTATTTATTATTAATAATCAGAATCAAAGGAAGATCTAAATTCAAATTAAATGGCTTTAATTTAACATGATTAAATTTCAAAAGACAAAACATTAGTTGAAAATCATGATGGTTATAATGAAACAATATAAAGAACATCTAATCCTATTAGAAATTCTAAAGGATATTAGTCTTCAAAAGATCAATTTAAATAGGAAGATTATTTTATAGATGAGGAAAACTTATGTAAGAATATGATGAGAAATAATGATCCAGATGAATTAAATCCATTATTATTATAATTAGCAATGAATCATCTTGCTTTTTCTAAATTATTAATAACAGAAAAGAAAGAATAAAAAGTTAAAAATAAATTTTTAGGATAACTAGATTAGAAATAAGTAAGTTTAGCAAAAGCCATGGGTTATGAATTCTTATGCGTTAATAATGTTTAGTAAATATATTCAATATGATAATTAGGAATGTCTAACATTATATTATTTAGATTAATGAAGAATTACATTCATTTAAATTGGTTATAACTAAATTAGATATTTAAAGACAAAGATTATTTATGTTATTTGAAATGGATGATTTTTATTAAGATAATGATAAATAATTTATACTTTTTTTAAGAGAAGGAAATGTAAAAAAAAATGAAGGAATAGATGATAAAGTTTGGAAACATCAATATGATTCACTTCATTACATTTATTATTCATATTGTTATTTAACCTAAGAAAGTGCAAGTGTATTTTTATAATCAGTAGAGAGTAATACTCCAGATAATTAATTATATACTTTAATGGAATAAGTATTCAAATTAAATATTATTTTGGGACTTAAGTATACATTAAAACCTGAATGTTAAGATTTTATGAAAAATATTAGGAAATCTGATTATTAAATGTTTGTATACACATAAAATTAGGAGATCTTTTCTACTTCTATATTGTATTAATCAGAACTTTTATTATAAAATGATTTAGTCTTACATTTCAATTAATAAAACGAAGAAGATTTACGTGCTTATTTTAAATAAAGTCTATAAGATTTTTCTAATACATTTGGTCATGCAAGCATTAATTCTTCCTAATTTATTAAAATCTAAGCTCTTAGCTCTTAAAAATAAATAACTGTAGATTAAGTTGTTGAAGAAAAACCTAGAACTAAGAAAATAATAGTAATGATGAACAATTAATCATTATAATATATTATGGAAAACCACTATTTTAAGAATAATCTAAAATTAATTCTTAGTTTCACTAAAGTGTTATTTCTATATTAGGCAACTCAGGATTAATTAAATACTATTTAAGATATTTGGTGTACTTCAGATAAAACTATTAATTTATTATATGAAAACTAAAGTTTATTACGTTGTTTAAGTGGATGCTAATTACAAATATTGTAATTATAGTAATTCAGTTTGTTTAAAAATTAAAAAATAGAAAAAGTAGATAAGAAACATTTCTTTACATCACTTATTACATCATTATAATAGAGATTAATATTTGAAAAATGCTACTTCAATGAAATGCAAATCAATTCTAATACTGATGTCATTATACAAGGTTATAAAGAATTAGATAGACTTCTATTTTTTTAGAGTCCTCTTTTAAAAATATTCTTTAGAGCTTTATATTAACAAACATTTTACAAAACAATAACCTTTGTTACATCTTTTACTTTTGTTACAATCATTTATACATGGTATACTTTAGATTATATGGATTATTTAATAGAAATCATATTTTATTTCTATATATACTAATTTTTTTTGTTTTCACTACAACATTATTCTTTTGTTGATTAATCAAAGAAATTAAAAGATAGTAAAGATTAATCAATATTATTGTAAAAATATTCATAACATAAATCATCAATGGATAGTATTTTAATTATGATTTTGAAACATATTATTTAAGGTCTTCTTATTTCATGCATTTTTATATATAAAATGTATGATTTAGAATACTATTTATATATTTTTATGTCTATTAGTATTAATGATTGGTTATATTTGATAATTAATTTAAATATGATAGAAGCAATCATTTTAGCTGCTCTTTTTCCTATCATATTTTACATCTATATATTATTAGATATGACACAAAATGATGAATGGAATTAATAAATAGATGCTTAAGATGTATTTTCAATTATTTTAGGTACAACCTTTTTATTAATAACAAATCTTATTTTTGATTACTTGTAAATTTAACATAGTATCAGTATACCTATATTTAATGATGATTTTCTTTCATATTTAAATTATGTTTAAATGATGATTACAACAAAATAAAAAAAGAAAACTTTGACTATTTTATAAAATAGAGTGAATGAACTTTTTGAAAATATTGAATAAGTAGATTTGAGTATTTAAAAATGTATTATATCTAATTTTATTTATTAGTGCTTTTAAATTAATAAAATAATTCAAGTAAATTTGGATAATGGCGTCAATAGATATTCAAAAAAGCTTAAACAATATTAATGTGGAAGAAGAAATAAATCATTTAAAGTTTCTAATTACTATTCTATCATAGCACATTTATAATTATAATGTACTTTTATTAGGATAGAAAAGATTTTTTTTTAGTTGATTATTTAATCATTTTTTGTCTTTAAGCATTTTATTTTGCTATATAACTCTTAATTAAATTACCAACAAATTAATAAGAATATTTAGAATATGGAAAATTCTTTTTATCAACAGCAGCTACTATATCTATATTATTTGTAATGAAACCTGTTGATAATATCAATTCTATTTTGACAATTGAATATTTTATAGTTTATGAATTGTCAATAAAATTTCATCCCATTTATGACTTTAGAGTATACATTACAACAGCTGTTGCAACAATGATTGGATATATTGCTTGGTATATAGTTGAAAATGATTCTATTATTTCAAATTAGATTGCTGTTATATAATTCTTAATTCTTTTTTCTGTTTTATAATACTTTGTAAAAAGTTATGTAAATTATTCAAATTATACTTTAAGTTTATTTAATTAGAAGAAGATTAAGCCTAAAATAAATTGAATTTCATTGAATAAAATAATAAAATTAATGATATATTAGGTATTTTATTACCAAAATTCATTAGAGATAGATTAAATGAAAGTAATTAATTATATTAAATTATAATAGCTGATCAATATAATATTCATTAAAATTAAGGTTTAGTAGCAATTGTATTTTGTGATATTTGTAATTTTGATTAAATGGTTATTGAAGAAAAAGATAAAATTATTACTTTTTTGGATGATATTTTTAGAACATTTGATAAATATTGTTAAATTTATGGAGTTTAAAAGATAGAAACAGTTGGCAAGACTTATTTAGCATCTGCTGGTCTAAAAGCATGTGAATAAGAATTGACTTATTTATCTCAGGTTGATCCAGTTTAAAGAGCTTTAAATTTGGCCGAATAGATGATGATATATATCAGATCAAAGATGTAAGTTTTATGATGATAATAGGTGGGGATATAAGGGATAATAATTAGTTGGTAAAATTGGTATTCATTATGGAGGAGCTATAAGCGGAGTTATAGGATTTCATAAGCCTCAATTTTCACTGATTGGTGATACTGTTAATACTACCAGTAGAGTTTGTTCGACTGGTTTAGAAGATAGTATTACATTATCAGAATAAGCATTTGATTAATTAAAAAATGAAAATATTGAGTTTGAAATAAGAAATGTTGAAATGAAAGGTTTAGGTATTAGACCAACATATATTTATAAATGCAAAATTTAAAATAAGGAAAATCAATTTTAAATGTAAATAGAGTAAGATGCTTAAAGTAAAGAAGCTAGAAGCTAATATTTTGTTAGAAAGAATCCTGAAATTTTTAAGAAGGATCTAAAAAAAAGAAAAACTATATTAACTTAGATTGATACTATGAAATAGAAAATGGATTCAATGCAAGAATAAGGAGCTCCTAATGTTTTTGGTATTAAACCAATAGATCCAACTTATTATTAACCATATGAAGATAAATCAAGACATTCAATATAATTATTATCAAAATAAGGATCTGATGAGAATCACATTAAGTAATCACAAGCTAAACCAAGTACATTTAAAAGATTAGTAACTATGCTTTAGAATAAATTTTAACTTGAAAATTATGAACCAGAAATAGATGAATTAATTGATTATGAATAATTATTGGTAATAATACATAAATTAATTAGAGAATGTCATTTTATTAAAGAATGAATATACACTAGAACATAATATAATTAAAGAAACTTCATTTATTTAATTATTGTAAATATCCTATTATAAAAAATAAATGAATCAATTTGTTAGTTATGAATAATATTAAGAATTTGTAAAGATTTAATCAAAAAATCAAACTGTTTAAAATTTGAGAATTTATGTACTTTATTATATGATTAAATTGTTTTGTCAAATTTAATTTTATGGAAATTTGAATTTAGGTATGATCATATTATAATGGTTTTGTTGTTTACTTAATTTAATACAATTTTTAGTGAATGATAAAACTCTTTTTGAAAAATGGAAATTATTCATTAAATTACTATTATGTTTTGAAGCTTTACTTAGTGGATTAGTGATTATATTAGATGAAGATGATTACTTAAAAAATATTCATATCTATGAAATAATATTTATTTAATCATTGTTTTGTAGTATTTAAATACTAAGTTTTTGGATTAAAGTATTATTTTGTATTGCAATTGCATTTTATTTTACAATAATCTTAGCAATAGATGGAACTTAAATTATATCAATATACTTTATCATAGTTAGCTCTTTGTATAATATCATGTTAATTTTATTGATTGAATAATAACAAGTAGGTTGTTTTAATTAAAAAATTATATTCAAAACTTAATAATAAAAAGAATCACAATTACTTTAGTATTTATTACCAAAACATATTCTCAATAAATTTTTAGATGACAGAATTGGTAATATTGGAATTTGTGATAAAATTGATGATCTAACAATATTATTTGCAGATATAGCTGGTTTTACTGAATATTCTAGTAAAGTAAAACCAGAAGAAGTATTAGTTATGCTCAAAAATTTATTTGTTGAATTTGATAGGAAATGTTGTGATTTGAATGTTTATAAATTATATACTATTGGTGATTGTTATGTGGCTATTGGAATGATTGATTATCACAATAGAAATCCTCATTAAGAAGCTAAAAATATTATTGATTTAGCTTTTGAAATGATCAATATAATTGCTTAAGTCAGGAAATAAATTAATTTTGATGGACTTAATATGAGAATAGGAGTACATACAGGACCTGTTTTTGGAGGAGTTATGGGTACAGATATTGTCAGATATGATATCTATGGGCCAGATGTACTCATAGCAAATAAGATGGAATCAAATGGAGTTAAAGGGTATGTATAAGTTAGTTAGTAAACAAAGAAGTATTTAGAAGAAGATTATGCAAATTTGTTTAAATTTGAATTGAATGTTACTCTTGAATTGAAAGCAATAGGACGATAAATTGAAGGATATTTAGTGAAAAGATAAGAGGAAGATAATCATTCTAATTAATAAGATGGCCCATTTTGAGTTTCTGATATTACTATTATGTTTTTAATAATTAAATATTTTAATATTTTACTCAGTTTTTTATTGTTGTTATTGGTACATATTGCTATGCTTATTATGTAAAAGGACGTTATTAGGCAAACATAATAGGTCTCTGTGCAGTTACAGCTCTTTAATTGAAATATGATGTCACTCTTTGAGGAGACAAAGATGAATTAATTTATACTGGTTAGATGATGCTTTATTTAGGATTAAGTAGATTTTAAGATTGCATTATTGGTTGATATCTGGTTTAAGGATTTATTTATTTTGGATTAGTAACAGTAGAAATTCCTTAAGTAGGAAATGCGGTTGCTTTTACTTATTTTAGTTATTATTATGATGCAGTTTGAATTTGTATAGATAATCTGGGGTTAAAGGCTTGACTTTAATGAACATGGTTATCTTAAATTAAAATATTCTTAGGGTTTTGAGGAGTTGATTGATATGGGTAATAATTAGGTTGTAATACAGAAAGATTAACTGAATTAATTAATTAATTATAAATAACTTATGGATGGAATTATTAATTTGAAATTCCAATTTTTAATTATTATTTTATTGGTTATTTAGATTATTATTATTATTATTATTATTATTATTATTATTATTATTATTACTATTAGTATTATTATTATTATTGTAATGGCTATTATTTTACTTATGGCTATTTAACTAATTATGGTTATTTTTATGCTGATAATCTATCATTTGTTATTATTAAAGGATTTTATTTATTACCTAAGTATTTTGGTAATATATTTTCAAGGCCTTCCCCAAAATATGTAATCTTAGCTGATATTTCAACTAATTAAGGAAATTAAAAGCCACAATTTATAATCCATTTTTAATCTCTATCTAAATATAATTTTTTGGCAGTTTCTGGCGTATCACTTTTGTCTCCAGGAGCATTTTTTACAGGAGCAAACTCCTCTTCCCTTTTTACTTCAATTAAACCAAATTATTCTTTAGGACAAAGAGGAAAACAATCAAAAAAAAAAAGTTCAAATTTCAAAGCATTTTGTATATCTGATTTAATAACTTTTCTCTAGGTTAAATCATAATAATCATATTTCTTTTATGCAACATGGTAACTAATTTCTATAATACAATTACTTAGCAGCTAATTTACTACTTGTTTATGGATCTTCAATTATCTTATGTGTAAATTCAACAGTACAGATCATTTAAGCTATACCTCCTGCATCATAAAGTAAGTCACCTTTATCATTCCTTTTTTGTAAATCTTCCTATGTCATTTCACTATACTCTAATCTAAATTTAAATATTTACCTATTACACAAGGTTTATCATTAATTAATGCATGAATTCCTACCTTTTCCTCTGCTTGTGTCTTCTTAACAAATTTACTACAAATAGTTAAATTATTTGCTTCTACATATCCAATCCAAATTGGATCACATAATTTACAAAGAACATTATCTACTGGGCATATATGAATATATTTGATTCCCAAACATTTCATATAATCCAAATAACCTTAATTGTAAAGACTACTAAAAATTCCTCCATTTCCTTTTCAAAAATAATATGAATATTCTTACCATCAGGTCCTTCCAATATTGATGTGCAATCATTTAAAAGTATGTCTCCATTTGTTGACAAAATAGGTAGAGAATCCTATTGAAAAAAAGTAATTTGATCAGATTGAAGATTGAAATAATTATTTTCAATAAAAAACTGTGTAGTTTCTTCATGATTAACATCGGAAGTCATGATAAAAAACTAAATAGGTAAGCACTATCCAATTCTAATTTGTATCATATTCTAGAGACTTAAAATGCGTTCACAAAAAATTTGAAATAAAGTTTTATGAGAAGGCAAACCAATATCATACATACCCTTTGCCTTATTAAAACCCAATCTGGTGCCTTAACCTCCTGCCATCATTGCCACACAAACTTAATATTAAATTTATATATACCCTTTCCTTCTGAAATTAATTTTTCTCCCAATTTTTAATACTGCTGAAGAGTTTCTTTAGGAGTAGAAGCAACTCGCAGAACATTTTGTATAGGATTTAGTTCACGATTTTCTTTAGGCCTTTCTTTATAATGACTATAGACCTAGATTAGCAATGTTAGTTTACATTTTGTAGATTTCTAATATTTATGGATTCCAATTTTTCCAATAACTTCTCCTAATCCTTCTCCTCTAAAGTGTTGAGATAATTAAGGAGATGTTGCTATTTGCATTCTTGATAATCCAACAAAGTTGACACCTTCTTTCTCATATATACTATTTATTTATATAAATATTAAATTTCAAAGTAGTTTAGTTATTATGATAGATTTATATATATGTGGAAAAATGAAAGTTTTATATATGTTTTAGAGGTATTAAGCTTGATTTTCTATGAATATATTGATTAAATTTAAATATTGATTATGAGCTAGAAAAAAGTTACTATTCAGGAATATATCACAAATAAGGTGAAGCCTGTGTTTGATTAACTAATAGCTAGGATAGTCATAGAGAAACCAGATGATGTATATGGATGGTCTATAAATTGGTTGCAAAAACAATGTAATTAATGACTTTAATGATTTAAGAAAGTGGTGTCTAAGTGGAGTAACATGTACATCATGATCTCAGTGAAGAAGAAGAGGAGGAGGAGGAAGTAGTTTTAGAGATAAAACAACAATAAAAGCAACAAACTAGAGCAGCAGTTTCCGCTGAAGTTTATGGAGATTACAATAAAAAGGAAGATTTTAAGCCAAGATTTATATAGAAATCAGAAGCCTAAATCGAAAGGATAAAGAAAAGAATCTTAAATTCATTTATGTTTTAAGCTTTGGATGAAAAGGATCTGAATATTGTATTAGGAGCTATGGATGAAAAGAAATTTCAGTAAGATTTATCATTTACTTAATTAAGAGTTGGAGACATTGTAATAAAGCAAGGAGATGATGGAAATGAGTTATATGTTATTGATGAAGGAAGATTGGAATGTTACAAAAAGTTTACAGGATTAGAGGAAGAGAAATTGTTAAAGACCTATATTCCTGGAGAGTCTTTTGGAGAATTGGCCTTATTATACAACGCTCCAAGAGCAGCTACTATTAAGGCTATAGAGGAAGTCACAACATTTGCTTTGGATAGAGAAACTTTTAACAATATTGTCAAGTTCTCTGCAATAAAAAAGAGAGAATAAATGGAAGAAATCCTGAATAAAATTGAACTGTTATAATCTATGGATAATTATGAACGATTATAATTATGCGATGTACTAAAAGAGGAAAAACATAAGGCAGGTGAAACAATCATTAATGAAGTAATTATTAAATTAAAAAAAAGGGTGAAATTGGAGATAGGATTTATTTGATTATTGAAGGAGAATTAGAAGCTTATTGGAAAGGTTAGAGTGAAAAAGTTTATGATTATAAACCAGGAGATTATTTTGGAGAATTGGCTCTTCTAAAGAACTCTCCAAGATAAGCTACTGTAGTAGCTAAAGTATTTAAAATATAAATATTTAGACTGATGTTGTGTTATTATATTGTGATTTCAATTCATTTAGTAGATTGATGGGTCCTCTTGAAGAAGTACTCAAAAGAAATGTAGAGAGATATGAAAAATATTTACAGTAATGATTATAATTAGACACATATATTTATTTAATTATGAATTAAAAAGATGAAAACTATAAAATGATGTACAAATATCATACTTTGTCAGAAGAATAAAAATATTTATTAACAGAATTACTATCTCCAAAAGACCAATTCTCTTCTTTTCCTCTTATTCAAATTTTAAATGGCTAGACAAAAAAAAAGTTGTTTGGCTTAGAAACTGCAATTTCACAATTAGATTAAAATTGTAGAGTTTTATTTTTTTAGAATGCTCTTCCAAAAATGGCTTAATATTCTTTGGAATTGCTTAATTTATCTCCTTAAAAATAATTACTAATATCTGAAGGTATTATTCAATTCACAAGAAAAGAAATTTATCAATTTTTATCATTAGCATTCTTTGGATTGTTAGAAAAACAACATGAATCATTTACATCTCCTTGTACTCTAATTTACATATTACAAGGGGAACCTGAAAAAACTAAATGTTATCTTCATTATTTCATTATGGCAAATTAAGAATTAGAAAATGAAATAATTACAATAGAAAGAATAGGCTTTAATGTGAATTATCATATTCATCAATTCTTTCCTAATAGTTAAGCCAATTAAATTTTAGATATAGAATTATGGTGTAATTGCGATAAAAGTCTATAAACATTTGATTTTGTTGATTCATTTATAGAAGAATAATATAACTCTATAATTGTTGATTTTGCAAATAAATATATAGGTGGAGGAGTTTTATATAAAGGTTGTGTTTAAGAAGAGATCCTATTTACAATAATGCCAGAAAATATAATTGCAGTTTTATTTTGTAATGCCTTAGGTAAAAAGGAAGTTATTATTATCAAAAATACTATCAGATATTGTGATTATTTGGGATATGGATATTCCTTTCATTTTCTTTAAAGAGAACCTTAAAATTTAAATTAGATTATTCTAGTTTTGGATGCTGAAAATTATGGTTATTATCCTCCTTAACAATTCTAATAAAAATCCATTTTGAGAGACCTTAACAAGGCTTTCATAGGATTTTCATTATCTTAATCGGCTAAAGAAGAGGATTTTTTTTTTCCTATCTCAACAGGAAAATGGGGATGTGGAGCATTTAAAGGAAATTGCTAATTAAAAATAATTATTTAATTAATTGCTTTTAGTACAGCATGGAAAACAAAAGATTAATAGAGAAGAATGATATTTTCAACTTTTAATGATGAATAATTATAATTTTATAAGAGGGCTGTTGATCTCATAATTTAGAAATACAAAAGTGTAGGTAAACTATTCTAATAATTATTGAAAATTAACAATTAATAAAATGTGTTTGAGTTTTTATTAAATTAATAATGAATATTAATATATAATTATGATTAGTGATTCTATTAATGTATAGAATACCACAATATAAATAATATATAATTGATCTGTGATTAATGTACTAAAAAAATGTCATATTGATCATTTTTATTCTTCTTCATCTTAGCCTACATTGAAATACTTCAATTAGTATGTGGATTTGTCAAGTGAATGCACATACAAATACTCTCTTAAGGTTTCTTATTTCAAATATTTCTTTGTTAAATATTTGAGGTATCTCTTGGAGAATGGGATTGTGGATGTGACAACAACTTTCTCTTATTCGGCAGTAACAGTGACATCGTTACCAAGATTTCCGGTCTTTCCTTAAACCTTAATTCTGGATTGAAGATAGCTCACAAATTCATCCAAGTTCAAAACCTATCATAGGGAATTATGCCACTATGAAATACTTTATCTTCCTTTGGTTCTGTGCAGTCAATAATGAATTTCAAGTTCAAATTTTTGGCTTTCTATTGATCTTTTCTTCTCAAAATAGGCATACTTAATAAAAGATATTAAATTTATTTAAAATTAACACTTTTCTTTTCTGATAAATAATCACAAAAAATCGAGAACAATTAATAAAGGAATATAGGATTTCTTTATATAATTATTTTTATGTTTTGAATATTTCTTCTATCTCCTCATGCTTTAAAATTTTTAACCAACCATTATATAATTAAGTTAATAAATATTAGTTATTTAGAATTGACAGATATCAAAAAGCTACTATACAACTTTTCCAAGAAATAAAGTGCTTCTTTTTCGATGATATAAATTACGTATGTTTGAATAAAATTTAGAAGACCCATTTATACATTGTCACTAGTCTTCAATATTTTTCTAACATTAATTTAACTTGAATGATAATTATTTCTTTAAAATATTAGATCACATATTTTTAATTTGTCATATTTTTTCTTTTAGACATTTGAGTGGAATTTAATTGAAAAAAATGATTATTATCAACAAACTACCTATTCCTTTAATTAAATTTTTGAATCTTTATATAATTTTAGTAAATTAATTGTTTATATTTCTACATTTAAAAATATTCAATGTGTTTTACTTTAATTAATATTAGGGATTTAGTAAAATTCTGGTTTATTATAGCTTATTTAAAATTATCATATAATTAAAATATATATGTATTGGTAGAAATCAGTAAGAATTATTAAGTTGATGAATAATTTTAAAGTCTTCTTTACAATCAATTAATAATTAAATTAGCAGAGTTTTCTAATCTTAATGAAAAGTTCTCAAAAATATTGTAATTTGGGATAATTTTTAGACAATAGTCATTTTATGCCAACTCTGACTTCTTGTAATAACAAATTATGCATGAAATCTTAATTATCTGCTCAAGGATGCAGAAAAATATCCATTCATGACGAAATTGTACAAAGAAAATAAGGTAGAGGAAAAAACGTATTAGAAGTCTCATAAGATGATGTATGAATTTTGAATTATAGTAAGAAACTGTTTCACAAAGGACAAGGAAGCATTCATTCTTATAGGAGTCCTAAGAACAGTTTTACAAAGGGTAAAACATTAGTAAGTTAGACTGAGATGATAAATAAGGTCAGTCCTAGGTTGTTATCTCCAAAATAATAGAAAGAAGTAATTGAATATTTACAAAAAAAAAATGAGTAATTAGTTCTGGAGAACAAACAAAAATAATAAATAATAAACAGATTAATATAATCTGGCGATCATACATTAAAAATCAACCAAATTTAAACACCATAAAAAGAGTAATTTTTACCTCAAATTCCAAAATCAGTAGAATCATAAAGAAATAAGGTAAATGATATTAGATTTCCATAAATTAAAACTCCAGAACCATATATAGAACATAGGATAACAAAAAAGAATGTAATAAATGAAAACACTAGAAATGAACATTAAAATATATTTAATGTAAGTTTTGGAAATCAACTGAATTTAAATGATGGAACTAATCAGCAAAATAATTAAATTCCTTATTAAAATTCAAGATTTTAACCTCTCAATAAAAAATAGTCACATCCAATTCAAACAGGTAAAAAATCCCATTTTTCAAAATTATTATTAAAGTTACCTTAAGAGTTTCATTTAAGTAGTGAAAATTAATAGAGGTAAATATGAAATTTCAAATTGGGTTATAATTTAAAGATAATGATTATAAATTATAAATTATAATAAAATATCTCTCTATTATTTATTTATTTTATCTCAATCTATTATTCTTAATGATAATTGTTAAATATTAGAATAGTAATGTAAATAATAAAGTATATTAATAGTTTCAATATTTGATTTATATATATTAATTTTTCAAGGTTCTCCTTCTAGATCTACTACTTCAAAAGTATCCTTACCAACTTCTTCATAATCTTTTTCTAAGCTAGCAAGATCTTCTCTAGCTTCTGAAAATTCCCCTTCATCCATACGATCACAGACATACCAGTGGACAAAGGCTCTCTTAGCATACATAAGATCGAATTTATGATCAAGTCTGGAGAAAACTTCAGCAATAGCAGTTGTGTTGGAGATCATACAAACAGCCCTCCTGGCTTTAGCTAAATCCCCTCCTGGAACAACTGTTAGTGGTTAATAATTGATTCCAACCTTGAATCCAGTTGGGCACCAATCGACGAATTAGATTGTTTTCTTTTTCTTGATAATGGCAATAGAGGCATTGATATCCTTTGAGATTACGTCACCTCTATAAAGCAATGAGCAAGCCATGTATTTACCATGTCTTGGGTCACATGTAGCCATCATGTTGGCTGGTTCGAAGACTGAATTTGTGATTTCAGGTACTGAGATATATTCATGATAAGCCTTTTCATTTGAGATGATTGGGGCATAAGAGCAAAGCATAAAGTGGATTCTTTGATATGGCACTAAATTAGTTTAGAGACTAGGCATATCGACATTCAAGGCACCATTAAATCTCATTGAAGCTGTCAATGAAGAAATGGCTTGAGCAATCAATCTGTTCAAGTTAGAGTATTTTGGTCTTTCAATATCCAAATTTCTTTTAGAAATATCATAAAGAGCTTCATTATCAAACATGACACAGATATCAGTGTGTTCCAACAATGAGTGGGTGGAAAAAATGGAGTTGTATGGATCAACGATAGCTGCTGACAGTTATGGAGATGGATAAATAGTGAAAGCCAATTTAGATTTCTTACTATAATCAATAGATAACCTTTCCAATAAAAGAGAACCCAAACCTGATCCTGTTCCTCCTCCTATTGAATGGCTAATCAAGAAACCTTGGAGATTTGTGCAATTATCAGCCAACTTTCTGATTCTGTCTTCGTACAAATTTATCAATTTCCTACCAATACTGTAATAACCTCTGGAGAAAATATCGGCAGCATCTTCCTTTCCTGAAATTAAATATCCTGGATGGAATAATTATCTGTATGTTCCTGTTTTGACTTCATCAATAATTGTTGGATCCGAATCCAAAAAGAGAGCTCTTGGAACATGCTTTCCTGCACTTGTTTCTGAAAAAAAGGTTTTCAAGTCATCATCAATATCTTCGTATGTCTTGTCTGATGACATTTAACCATCTGGCTGGATACCGTGTTCTAAGCAGAATAATTCCCAACAGGCATTACCAACTTAAATACCTGCTTAACCGATGTGAATAGAAATGATTTCTTTCATTTTTAAAGTTCAGTGTGAAGAAAAACTCTCTACTTAATATATTGAATTCAAACAATCACCGAGAATTTAAATATCCAAAAATATCCTTCAATTCAGATACTTCATATTATTTTCTATTATAAGTGCATTAAACTATATTTGATTTTATGAAATTTAATACTTTAATTAAATTGTCTTACCCTAATCATAATCAATAATATTAAATATGATCATTTATAATACAAATAATTATAAATATATCTTTATATTGAATCTATGTATATGAAAGTTAAGACTAAATAGTTTCAAACTGTGATATCTCAAAATATATATGGTGTTTTGATATTGTGAATAATATCTAATAATAGAATTTAAAGAACTATATTGAAAAAAAATTATAGAAATCAATGAAGTAAAATTGATTTAAATTCAAATGTTATTAAAAAACAGCATAGAATTGTAAGATAAAATAGAACCTACTATTCTGATAAAATGATACATTAATTAATCAATCAGTAGATTCTCTGTTAAATTTTGGTTGTAATTTTTTTATTAAATTTATTAATCTTATTTAGGAATAATATATCAGAGATTATTTATCTCTAATTGTTAATTTTTATGAGAATCACTTATGAAGTTGTTTTTTTAGACTTTGTATTTTTTATCTTTTTAATTGAAATTTAATAAGCAGAGAAAGACAATCATTATTTAATTGAGATAATTCTACAACCAATAACAATTCATATATTCAATAGGATTATTTTTAATATTTTAATTTATTTAATTTCTTTTCAACTTCTGAGTTAAATTAAGAGCATAAAATTTTCTTTTTTTTATATTATTCTATTATCATTTATCACAGAATGAAATAAAAAGATAATTAATTTTATTTGAACATAATTTTTTCAATCCTACAAGATGAAAACCCTTCCATAATTTATCTCTCGAATTCATCAAATTATTGATTGAATTATTTTATTTTATCAAAACCTGCTTAGAAAAAAGAAGCCTAACTATTAAAAAAGTTGGCATAATCCAAAAAGGGCTCTAGAAAATTTTTATTTAAAAAGAAAAAACTTGTTTACACAAGTAAATAGTTAAATCCAAATGATTATAACAATCTTGATATTTTATTTCTCATAAAATGTTTAATGAATGTCATTTCATTTTGTTTAAGTTTAAAATCCTGTTCCAAAACTTGAGCAATCTTTTATTTTTCACTTAATTAATTTTAAGTGTCTATTTAAATTAAGAAGTATAAGTAATCAATGGAATTACATAAGAATAAAGTACGGTTAGTAATAAATATGCTGATTCTTTAGAGTAAAAACATAGTAATCAAAATTTATTCAGTGCTGTGTTCAACATCTGTATATTGGATTAATAAAGAGCATAAAAACTTGATAATTTTTTAAATCAATAATTATTATTTATTATCTTAGACTTTATAAACAATGAACTTTTTAAGGGAAAAATTGAGATTCAACCATAATTCTGTCATGACTGAATTGAACTCTGAATTCTTCCTCTATTAATAAAAATTTTGTTTTTATAGAACTTTTTTCCTGTTTAATTATAATGAATCATTATATTAATTGGTAATATAAAAATAATCATTTCTTTATAATGATTTGTAAAATAATGATGAAAACTTTATTTTTTTCTTTTTTTTTCAGAACAATTATATAAAAATAATTAATATATTTTTAAATCTTTAATTTAAAATGGTCAAGATGAACGTTCTAAATGATTGCCTTCGTTCAATTGTGAATGCTGAAAGGTACAATTAATTGTTTTATTTGAAAAGATAAGGAAGGAAGTAAGTTTTAATTAGACCAACATCCAAATTAGTTGTGAAATTCTTATAAGTCATGTAGAGACATGGATATATTGGAGAGTTTGAAATTGTCGATGATCACAGAAGTGGCAAAATTGTAGTAGAATTATTGGGTACCGATTGTAATAAATGCAAGGTCGCATTAATAAATGTGGAGTCATTTCACCTCGTTATGATGTTACTTTAGGTGAATTCGAGAGATGGGCTAACAATATATTACCAGCCAGACAATTTGGTTGTGTTGTCTTAACTACTAATGTTGGCATTCTTACTCACGAAGAAGCTAGATAAAGACATATTGGTGGTAAAATCCTTGGTTTCTTCTATTGAGTTTAATACAAAGTACATTCATATACATACAATATAAATAACTAAATTATCATTGTATTTATTTTAACAAAATTGTAAAAATCAATTTTATATATTTTATATATCGAATAAGTTTAATAATCATTTTAATTGACTACCATTTATACCTGTCAATCTAGATGAACTGCTCTTGACTTTTTTTTTAAACAATTTTTCTTCTTCATCTAATTTATCATCATCCCCTCCTTGAACATAAACCATTTAATCCATATCTGCCATCTCCATAATATCATTTATTTTCTCTTTAAAATATTCATGTTAATAATATAATGTATTTGTAATTTATTAATCTTAATAGCTCTCCCAATAAGCACTAGTCTTTCTTTCTAAACAACTATCCTTTTTTACTTTATAAATTATATCGTTTCCCTCAATTTACATTAAAGAAAAAGGGAATATGCTTTTAGAATTAACTTATTGTTAAGGATTCTAAATCTTATAGATGGGAAAAGAATCTGATAACACTTAATCAAAAGTTAATTGATATTTTCTAGCTTCTAAATATAAAGTTGCTAAAAATCTGGCTACACTTTCCATTTTTTCATCTGGTGGTTCTTGAGGAATCACAGGTATTTAGGGTTATTAAGGTTAAATAGGTTATGGTATTACAGGGGGTATAATTACAGGTGGTTTTTCTTCAAATTTGAGTTTTTCTACAATGAGATCTTCAATTTATTTTTCAAATTTGAGAATCTAATCCTCTTTTCTTAATTTTTCTTTTCTTTATTATTCATTCAATTCTCTCCATTAAATAATTTCTTTTGAAATATTATCAAACATTTCATCAGCCCTATCTACAATATTAATTGAACATCTATCTTAAGAATCCCTAACAAAACAGTCTTTAGGCCATACTCTAATTTCTGAATTATTATCTTTTTCTTTTTTAGATTAATCCAAGAATTCTTTAATAAATTTACAAAAATTAAATCTCCTTTCTATTTCCATAGCTTTTTCTCTCTAAATACTTTAATCTATAATATTTGAAACCACCAAAAGATCTTTTTTTAACAATACTATTTTCTAACCTAAATTTTCCATTTCATTAACTCCTCTAGTATTTTAAGGATTGCCTCTTCTTAATTTCATTGTTCTATCCATAGGTTATGTCCTAGGACGAAATGCCAAATGAGGATTACTATCCTCATAATATGGATGCATTAAGAATCTTGTAAGTGAACGTGAAAAGTGCTATCTTTACTTCTTAAAATAGTTATATAATAATTCTTAAATGTTAATTGTTTGTTGATTTATTGTTTTTGGTAAAGTAGGTTTCAATTTTAGAAATTCACTAAAATCAATTTCCACATCTTTCCCACTCTTAGCATCAAGTAATGCTAGATACAATTCAAAATCTTCAATTGTAATAGGAATTTGTAGCTTTTCATTGATTGTTTAAAGGAAATGTACATCCTCTTCAGTTAATTCATAAGTAGTGGCATCTGGATAAACAGGTGCCTTATATAGAATGTAATCCTCACGACATCTTGAAGGTAATTGTGATTTGAGTGTGGGCTCTTCAAATTATTTAGGTCTAAATAATAATGAGTATAATATAAAAATAAATAAGGCTTGTATGAAGGTATAAGAAAGAGATTTCACATTTGAGAAAAGTGAATTCATCTCTCTTAGACTCCTCTTTTTGTAATTAAATAGATATGAGCAATTTACTTTTCTTTTATGAGTTAATCTGGAGTAATGATTTATTCTGTATTTTTGATTTCTGCCTCTTGTCCTTCAGCATTGTTGAATGCTTCTAAAGTACTTATGGTGAGTACTGGTTTTGATGCATCGATCTGTCTTGGTCTTTATTTCATTTTTCTATGCTGCTGCCAATCGATTAATAATTAAAGAAACTTGAATAATATAGGAAGATACTATCCCAAGCAAAATGAAAACATTACAAATCAAACAAATAACACAAGAAAACTCTTCTTTTTATAATATTACTACTACTCTAATCTCTTCTCTTTAAATCTATCTTTCTCATTTAATTAATAATCAGACTTTTATGCATTAATCCTTATCTCACTCTCCTTTACCCAAATACTTCTAACTCAACAATCTTTACAAGTTTTCATTATAAATATTAATGAACTAAATTGAAATTGTAGATAAATTAGATGATTCTTTCGTTAATTCAATAACCTCATTTGATTAAGATCACATCAAATATTATTTTCTGAATCACCTTAACATTTCCTATCTTTAAATTGAAAATTCAATTATTATTCTAAAGAAGAATTAATCTTGAATCAATTAAATATTAAACTACTCTTTATTAAGATCATAAGTATCAAATAAGCAGATCTTAATATCAAAAATGATCTCTTATTTTGAGTGATAAACATCAATGATTATACTAATCAATACTTCAAAGAGGATCAATTTAATGAACTTGAACCTATTAAACCTAGATTTTGATACATTCAGTTTAAGAATATAGTTTGAAATCCTTACAATTAATTTAGAGTTATAACAATTCTCAATTACTTTGATAAACTAATAATCCAAAATCAATATAAGTGCATAAATAAACTATGGTTCCATTTTTTCAATTGATTTCTAGTGAAAAATAAATGAAAGAATAAGATAAAATTGAAATTTTTGATTAAGAGGAGAATTAAAACAAAAAGCTAAGATTATTCAATATTCAAATATGTATAGACGTAAGAGCTAATTTGAAATTTAAAGAAATATTAATATATTAAGAAAATAATAATAAGAATAATGAGAAAGACTCAAACATTTAAGGAAATATATTACAAAATAAGAAAACTATAAATTAGATTGTAAATATCATAAAATTTTTTTTATTTTAATATTCTAATTTAGTTGTTGATAACCAAAAATCTAAACTATTCAAAGTATAATCTTTAATACTGAAATTGAGATTCAAATTCAAGTATGGGATAATTAATTAGAAAATATAATGATATGTTTAATTTCAATGTAATAGTTAAGCAAACAATACTTAAATAAATAATGAATAATTATCACGATAACATTATGAAGTAAATTTTGGAAAAGATTATTGGAAAATATAGTAATTGAATTCTTTTAAATTTTTTAATTAAACAATATTTTATAGAAATAATTATTCAATAACAATCTTAATTCTGATTTATTACTCAAAATTTAATGATTAAAATAATCAAGTTCAAAATAGAGAAACAATAAGAAATGGATGTGTTGAATTAATTCAATTTTTTTGATTGATTATTAGTCTATTTTCATGTATATTTTTATAATATCTAAATAATATTTGGAAAATGAATACGGTTACTTGTAGATTAATTAACAATTCAAAGAAATCAGAACAAAAGTGATTTTTGTATAAGACATCTCTAAATTTTGAGAAATTAAGTCTATGTATTATAATAGATCTATTGAAAGAGTTTAAAAAGAGTTATTTTTAGATATGAAGTGATATTTAGGAAAAGAGGAGAAAGAAAAGACAATAATATGTAAAGAAAATGAATTAAATGTGTGTTAGACAGTTTTAATTATAAGATTGGATGATGAATATTTTTTTGATGAAGATGATTGAATTTATTTTATTTTATGGGGGAGAAAAGAATTGACAAATATCTATTCAATCCTAAGGATGTTATTGGGGAGGGTTCATATGCTTAAGTGTTCAGAGGAAGAGATGAAAAGACAGGAGTAAAGGTAGCTATAAAAGTGTTAAACAAATCTGTTATAAATGCGTATTTTAGATTGATCGAAATTTAGAGACGATTATTTAAGAGAAGGTTTGATCTCTGAGATAAAAGTGATGTAGAAATTGAAGAGTCCAAACATAGTATAATTAATGGATGTGATGGAAACCAATAATAATTATTATATAATTCAGGAATATTGTGATAGTGGAGATCTAGATAAATTGATTGAGAAGTATATATAATGTTATATCATTAGTTATGTAGCTTAAAAGAAAACTATGCCTGAAAAAGATGCTGTCAAATTTATGATTGATATTTTGAATGGATTCATTTAACTAATAAAAAATGGTATTATTCATAGAGATTTGAAACCAGCCAATATTTTAATTGATAAAGGAGTATATATTAAAATATATATTATAGACTTTTAAATTAGCAGATTTTGGATTTGCAAAATGTGTAGATAATTTTAAAAAGGATATGTTAGCATCATTAGTAGGAACACCATTATATATGTCACCATAAATATTAGATAATAAGAAATACACTTCCAAAACTGATATTTGGAGTATTGCTTTTATCTTTTATGAAGCACTCTTTGGTAAAAGTAAATATTCTTCTTTTTATTTAGCTCCTTGGACTGCTAGATCACCTTAAGAACTCTTAAAAAATATTAGAAGTCAACCATTATAGTTTAAAGGACCTTAAATCTCTAAAGAAGCTTAAGAATTTTTAACTGGATGTTTACAGGCTGAAGAAAAAGATAGATTATCTTGGGATGAGATTTATCGACATCCTTTATTTAAAGGACATTTTACTGATTTTATAAAAAATGTCAGCATTTTAGAAGATAAAGCAACTTATTTAATTAATGATATAAGATAAATGATTATTAAAGAATAGATTGATATAGGAGAATTATTTGCAGAACTGGACATGACAAAAGATAAAGCATTAAATGTAAATGAGTTGGGAAAGTTCTTACAAAGAGTAGATAAGAATCTAACAAGAGAAGAAATTGAATATATATTCAATAAATTTGATGATGATGGAAATAATTTAATAGAGTTTAATGAATTTAAAAAATGGTTAGAAGAAAATGATGTAAATTTTTATTTAGTATTGAATTTAAGTGTAGAATGACAGCATCTGAAGTTAGCAGAACTAAAAAGAAAGTTAGTATTCTCATGAAACCATAATAAGATATTTAAGCAGGATCTCTTGATGATAGAGCAAGATCAGTGATTGAAAAACTCAAGATATCAATTGTTAAATATAATATTAATCTTTTGGATTTGTTTAATAAAGTAATCCTAATTCTTTATAATATTTTAGTATGACAAATCAGCTAATCATGAATTAGATGTTTAGGAGTTAGGAAAACTATTAAAGAAAATTGATTAAACTGTAACAGATGAAGAAGCTAAAGCAATCTTTACCTTTTTTGATCATAATAAAGATGGATCTGTTTCATTTAATGAATTCGAGTTTGTATTGAAAGAATGCTTAGTTAAATAAAAAATCAAGTAGTGATAATGATAAATCTACAAAATCGTAAAAAAGTTATAAGATATTCTTTATTATTATTAAGTAATTCCTATCAAAGAATTGTGTATCTATAAATAATAATTCTTTTATTTAATGAATTAAAAAAATATGGTCTTAATCCTCTTGCTAATGTAAATCAACCAATTATTTTTGTTAATTTTGTTTTATATACTTTATCATTCTCTGTCATTTTCAAATAGTGTTCATATGATGTTTTAGAGATCTCTTCTTCTCCTAAGAAATCCTTTATCAAAATTTCAATATCTAATTTATCTTTATTAAATACTTTCATATAATGATTTATTTTCTATCTCTGTATTCAAAGGAGCATCAATTTAAAATAAAAATATGATTAGATGACTGAATATCCTATTAAATAACTTATAAATGAATTTAAATAATAAGGCAAATGATCTGAATATGAAATCTTTAGTAATAAACAACCTGTTTTTACAGTAGCTTAATAAAACTTATAATATTTCTATTAAACTTTGAACCTTTTTCTTATACTTTACAAAACCATTTCTCATTATTAATATGCATTTATCAATTCAAAATTAAAGATTAAAATTTCAAATAAAACCTTAAATAAACATCTTAAGTTATGTAAACTGCATAAAGTAATTAATATACATTTTTCATTTTCAAATAGATGGATATATTTTCTGGTAAGATGATAACCAAGATGTCAAATAATGAAGTTTGAAGAATAACAAAACGCTGAATAATAAAGTTTTTAAGGTTAATTAAATTTGATCAATTTTAATAGAGTTATTATCTCTTTTTAAATTATATATCAAAAGTTTTCAATTCTATTTCACATTCGTTTCATATTAAATTTTTGTTTGAGTAATTTCCCTACATATACCAATTATCTAATATTGTTTTCAAGGTATGTGAGAACTTTATAATTTGAATTAACATTAAAATTAACTTAGGAATTGTAAAAGTGATAACAAATAAACGATCAAGTCAATGAATATTTTAATAGCAAATTTTGCGCCTGCAAATTGAATAGCCTACTTTAAATATTTTTAAATTCCAATGCAATATATAGTTTATGTTTTTATATATTACATCAATATTATATATATATGAATTTCATATTAAAGAAATTAAGTATCCAGTATTAATTTTGTATAATATTATAATAATCATAAACGATTAAGTCTATTCATTCTTTTGTTCTTAATTTTATACTTTCATAATCAAATTTTATTTTTAAGTGAATTTTTATTAAGCATAAAATATAAATATATCTTTAATATACAAAGAATATTGTTTGTTTTAATGAAAATTTATAGTTGAAAATAAATTTAAAAATTAAAAATTTTTGCTTTTCTAATATTTTAAAAAATCTAAGGTATGATATTTATTTAAAAAAAAAAGTAATTGAATTTAATAAAAATGCTTGACTATTATTTTATTAAATTATTTATATTAACACAATATAAAAATAATTAACGAAATGAGTCAATAGAATGCAAGAAACTTAAGAGATTTACTTATAAAATAATAACTTAATAGTAAAATTAAATTTAAAGGGGAACCTGTTAATAAAATTTAACCAAATAGAAAATAATCAGGAAATTGGGATAAAAAAATAGATATAACCTAATGTTGTTGTAATTAAAAGAACTGTAATATTTGTGTGAAGAAAAGAGTTTTTATTAATGCTTCACCTTTGCTTAAAGTAAAGGTTTGCACAAAAAATTAAGTCTGTGAACCTGATAGTAAAAGAGAGTTTAAAGTAACCAGCTCAGTTTCAGCACATCAATCTCCTAATCGTGAAAAACAATATTAGATGCAATAAACATTTTTACAAAAACAAATTTAGAATCATCTACAACAACTCTAAGAAGCACGTCCTTAAACAAGATAAATACCTAAAGAATAAGTCAATAAACCATAATTTTATTAGAATATGGATAATTTTTTAAATAATTACTATTAAAAAAGTAATTTAAGCAGTTCATAGTTATATTAAAATAGTTTCAGTGTTAAATCAAAAGTAATTCCAAAAAGAATAGAATCAAAGAGTCATGTTTTAAGTAACACTTAAACTTCATTTAAATTAAAATTGAATTAATAAGGACCTAAATTTTCAGCTGTATCTTATTGAATTTAAATTAGATAATCAATTCTGGATTAATTGAATCAGCTCCAAGTTCTCCAAATAATCATGAAAATTCATCTAAAAGCAAAATAACTCCAAATGATTCAATCACTAAAAGCAAAAATATTAATTAAAATGATTCTAAATTAAGTGATATAAGAAGAAAGTCTACAGGTGAGATTTCAGAAAAAACTTAAGTTTTAAGTTAAAAAATAGATGAAAAAATAAGTAGATTGCATTTTAAATTTCTTTATGTAATTGGAAAAGGTGGATTTGGAAGAGTGTGGAGAGTAGAAATGAAAAGGAATAAAAAATTATATGCTCTAAAAGAAATGTAAAAGGCTAAAGTAATCTAAAAAAGAAGTGTTAATTCAGTTTTGAATGAAAAATTCTTATTAGAGAATCTACATCATCCTTTTTTAGTTAATATGTCATATGCATTTTAAGATAGAGAAAATTTATTTTTGATTATTGATTTATTGACTGGTGGGGATCTTAGATTTCATTTAGGAAAGATGAGAAGATTTAATGAAGCTTAAACTAGTAATGATTTATTTATTATGATAGAATTTTTTGTTGCTTGTATATTATTAGCTTTAACTTATTTACATTAGAATGGAATTATCCATAGAGATTTAAAACCTGAAAACTTGGTATTAGATGAAGATGGATATATGAGATTAACAGATTTAGGCATAGCAAGAATGAATAAAGGAAATAATGCTGGAGATACATCTGGAACACCTGGATATATGGCACCTGAAGTAATGTGTAGAATGGATCATTCAATTGTTGTTGATTATTATGCACTAGGAGTAATAACATATGAATTAATGCTTGGAAGAAGACCTTATAATGGTAGAACTAGATAAGATATCAGAGAATAAATATTAGCAAAATAAGTTTAAGTAAAAAGGGAAGAATTACCTTTGGGATGGAGTGAAAGTTCTCTTGATTTTGTAAATTAGGTATTAAGTATTTAATGATTTTGTTAGTTAATATTAAGAAAGCCAGAAAGAAGACTTGGTAGTAATGGTATTGAAGAAATATTACATCATTCTTGGTTGAGAGGATTTCCTTGGGATGAATTGTTAAAAAAGAAAGTTTAAGCTTTATATGTTCCAGGGGTATTTGAAGTTGATAGAATGTTTAGGCTGTTGATGATAATTTCGATTTTCAGAATCAAATTTCAGAAGAGACTTAATTGAATGACGAATAGATATTAGAGAATCAAGGACTTTTAAGAAGAGATACTGTATAATGTATTAAAATTTGTAAGATGTAGCTTTATTTGATGGATATAATTTTGATGTTGAAATAAAAAACATTTAACATTAATAAACATAAAAGAATTATACTTAAAGAAAATCACAACCTGTTTCTCCAGAGAAAAGAACATGACATTAAAAATTATTAATAATAAATGATAGTCAACTTTTTTTAAATTTAGATTTCTATATATCATCTAAGATATCTTCTTCATAAAGCTTTAATGACATTTACTTTTTAAGTGTTTCATATTTTTCATCCAATTCACCATATTTAAGAAGTAAATCATCTATATAATTATTTTTTTAGTCAATTCCTTGTAATAATTCTTCGCATTTCTTTTACAATAATCGAATGACTTCTTAATTTTGAACTAGTTTTTCTTATTCATAGAGTTTTGCCTTTAACAGTTGGATTTCCTATAGGCTTGACTAAGACTCATACCCTTAGGTATTTATTGTGGATCTCTTTGATATCATTTTCAATGCGAGCCTTGAGTGTATTTTCAAATTATTTGTTAAAGTCATTAATAATAAGTTAATTATTGGAAGTAAGTTCATCTAATTCTTTTTTCTTATCATTATACAATAACATTAATTGTTAGTTTTCTGATTTTAATGAAGCTACCAATTAATTTAGTTGTCTAAGTTCTTTATCATAGTTTTCTTTAATAGACAATTAATCTTCTAATTATTATTTAAAATGAATCAAACTGATTTAACAATCTGAAATGAATTGCCTACATAAAAGATGATATTAATACTTCATTTCATTAATTTGTAAATATTGATTTTCTATAATTTTGTCTTATTCCTAACATTTTGATTTGAATATTCTCAATTCTTCATATTAGTTATAAATTTAAGGTTAAAGAGTTGGATGAATACTATTATGTTTGGAAGTTGAATATTTCTATTCATCTTGAATGAAAGTAGCTGTAGAATGAGATTAAGTCCTTAATGGAGATTTGCTCATAATTCGTTAAAATGACATGATAATAATAAATTCCAAATTTCTCTGGAATGTTAAAATAATTGTATTTAAACAAATCATCCTAATGTGAAAATATTAATATTTATTTTTAAAAGTTTAGGAATGGATCCAAAGTATGTTATATATCTCAAACAATTATAGGAATAAACCTTAACCAAATTAACCTAGTTAACCCAACTAATCAAACTAATAGGGATAATCAGAAAAAAAAGATGTTTCTACAGCTATTTTAGATAGAAAGAAAGCACCCAACAGATTAATAGCAGAAGAAGCTCTCTAAGATGACAATACAGTCATTCAATTGTCTTAAGCCAAAATGAATGAACTCAAATTATTTAAGGGTGCACCAGTATTATTAAAAGGAAAGAAAAGAAAGGAAACTGTAGCAGTCCCAATCCCAGATAAGTTAGATAATGAAAAAATTAGACTTAATAAAGTCATCAGAAAAAATTTACGCATTAAATTAGGAGATATTGTGACTATTAAACCATTAGATTAAGTATTATAAAATTCAAAATTTAAATAGGTTCCTACCTTAACCAAAGTTCATGTATTACCATTTGATGATTCAATCGAAGGCATTAAAGGAGATTTAGCTTAAACATACTTGATTCCTTATTTCAAAGATGCTTATAGACCTGTTAAGAAAGGTGATTACTTTATTTGCAGAGGTGGATTCAAAGCAGTTGAATTCAAGATTATTGCAACTGAACCAGGAGAAATTGGTATTGTTGGTCCAACAACTACATTATTTACAGAAGGTGAACCAGTAAAAAGAGAAGATGAAGAAAAATTAGATGAAGTAGGATATGATGATGTAGGTGGATGTCGTAAGTAAATGGCTTAAATCAGAGAAATGATTGAATTGCCATTAAGACATCCATAATTATTCAAAACATTAGGAGTTAAACCACCAAGAGGAGTTTTATTATATGGACCTCCAGGATCTGGTAAAACATTAATTGCTAGAGCTGTTGCTAATGAAACAGGAGCATTCTTCTTTTTGATTAATGGTCCTGAAATTATGAGTAAGATGGCAGGAGAAGCAGAAGGAAATCTTAGAAAAGCATTTGAAGAAGCAGAAAAAAACAGTCCTGCTATTATCTTTATTGATGAAATTGATTCTATTGCACCAAAAAGAGAAAAAGTTAGTGGTGAAGTAGAAAGAAGAGTTGTATCTTAATTATTGACATTGATGGATGGTTTAAAGGGAAGAGGTTAAGTTATTGTTATTGGAGCTACTAATAGACCTAATTCTATTGATGCAGCATTAAGAAGATTCGGTAGATTTGATAGAGAAATTGATATTGGAGTACCTGATGAAGTAGGAAGAATGGAAATCTTGAGAATTCATACTAAAAATATGAAATTGGCTGAAGATGTTGATCTTGCCGCAATTGCAAAAGAAACTCATGGTTTTGTTGGAGCAGATATGGCTGCACTTTGTACAGAAAGTGCATTATAATGTATCAGAGAGAAAATGGATGTCATTGATTTAGAAGATGATAAATTAGATGCTGCTGTCTTAGAAGCCATGGCTGTAACATAAGAGCATTTCAAATTTGCTATGGGATAAGTTAATCCTTCATCTTTAAGAGAAACTGTAGTTGAAGTACCAAATGTTAAATGGGAAGATATTGGTGGTTTAGAAGAAGTCAAAAAATAATTATAAGAAATGATCTTATTCCCAATTGAACATCCTGAAAAATTCCACAAATTTGGTATGTAACCATCCAAAGGTGTTCTATTTTATGGACCACCAGGATGTGGTAAAACATTATTGGCTAAAGCTGTTGCTAGTGAATGTTCTGCCAATTTCATTTCTATTAAAGGACCTGAATTATTGACAATGTGGTTTGGTGAATCAGAATCCAATGTTAGAGAAGTCTTTGACAAAGCTAGATAAGCATCACCTTGTGTCTTATTCTTTGATGAATTAGATTCTATTGCTGTTTAAAGAGGTAGCAGTGCTGGTGATGCTGGTGGTGCTGGTGATAGAGTTATCAATCAATTATTGACTGAAATGGATGGTGTTAGTGCCAAAAAGAGTGTCTTCTTTATAGGAGCTACAAATAGACCTGAAATTTTGGATGAAGCTATTATTAGACCTGGTAGATTAGATTAATTGATCTATATTCCATTACCAGATGAACCATCAAGACTTAATGTTTTCTAAGCTAATCTTAGAAAAACTCCTGTTGCTAGTAATGTTGATCTTGCTTATCTTGCTAAAATTACTGATGGATTCTCAGGTGCTGATATCACTGAAATCTGTTAAAGAGCTGCCAAAGCTGCTGTCAGAGATGTATAAATATAATATTAAATAATAGGCTATTGAAGCAGAAGCTAGATAAAAGTAAGCTCTTTAGATGGCTCCAAATAAAGCATCTTAATTAATTAAAGCAGATCCAGTCCCAGATTTAAATCGTAAACATTTTGAAGAAGCTCTTAGACATGCTAGAAAATCAGTTACAAATATTGTATAACTTTATATTAAACATTTAGGATTTATAAAAATTTGAAGAATTCAAAAAGAAATTTGATCCCTCATTCAGTAAAGGAAGTAATTAAGGTGGATTTTCTTTCAAATGGCCTGAAGCTGGTGGTTAATAATTTTCTAGAGGTTAATAAAGTAGAATCCAAGAAGAAGATGATCTTTATGGAAATTGATTAGTATATATATAATAAATAACATATTGATAGAATGATAAGTTCTTTAATTTTTCAATTATGGAGTTTGAATAAAATTAAATCTGGATATTATATAAACAGTTATCAATAAATTATATATCTCTTTTTAAATAATAATGCAATATATTTAAATGTCTATAAATAAAATCATTTCTTGACAGGTCCCTTCTTTTTTGCTTAATATATTAATTAGTCATTCGATTACCATCTTTCTTTTGCTCTTCTTCATATTTCTTTTGATGATCTAATGCCTATTATTTCAATTATTCAATTGCTAAACGTAATGCAGTTATCTGAGCTTGCTTCAATCTATCAGCTTCCTCTAGTTAAGCCAATTATGTCAAATATGGTTTTAGCATTTCTTAAGCTTCATGTTCCGATTGGTCCATTCTATTTTATATAAATAAATATAAAAAATAATAGGATATAATAAATATATAAAGATAAACAGAGTAAATTCAATTTCTTTTCTTTATTTAAATTCATTTAATAGTTCATTCATTAGAATGATTTTAAAATCCAATAACCATTTCAAACAATAGCACAAGTGAGAACCAAAAAGAAAGCTCAATTGAAATAAAATGCCTTAGATATTAAAGAGGAGACTTATGATTATTCTAGCTATGCATTTTGACTATTCAGATTCAAACTATTAAATCAATTAAGATGATTATTTGATTTTTTATTTTCTTATCCTTGTTACCTAAATTTTTTTTATTTCTTTACTATATTAAGCAACTACTATACTCTCTTGTTAAAGGTACAATCCCAAAAGATTGATTACAATTAAAGATTTTCACAACTTCCTTTTAAGCTATACTTGATTCATAAAATCCATTTCATTGTTAATATCTTTATCTAAAAAGCACCAAGTTTCTTATTAGACTTTTGATATCATAGAAACTAATACATTTCTTCTTCTTTCTCTTCCTATGCAAAAATCAAAGCTTCAATAAAGAATAGAATTTATAATATCAAAAGTGTAATAATTAATATTTTAATAAATGATATAGTATATATATAATAGAAAGATAGAGTTTAAAATTAAATTGTTGAGTTAATGAAATAAAAAATATCATTCATAATCTTAAAAAATTTAAATTCTTAATATGAAAGTACTCTATCTTTTGATTTTGCTCATAATAAATCTTTTTCAAGTAATTTCTTTTTCTCTATTTATTTAGCTTCCTCTATTTATTATAAAACTTTATCAAGTTCCTTTCTCTTGTCTAATACTAATTTTTGGTAATTGTTCATGTTCTTTCTTTTGATGACTCAAAATCATCAACTAAATTGTATGGTTTATCAAATGCTTGTTGAAAATCAATTGAATTCCTATAACAAATATAAAAACTTGCTTCAGCAAATTCAATCAATAACAATATTTCAAATAATATTGTCATCTATATTTATCGAAATAACCATTATAATATAATCAAAATAGTTGACAGATACTTGTTCTTTATATAAGAAATGCGTTTATTATTAAAAGTTTACACTTTCAGAGCAATATTTTTATAATAATATACTCTCCTATTTTTTATTAATTGATTTAATTATTAATATATATATTACAGTTAATGAATAAGTCAAGGGATTGGAATGTTGTAGATGATGAACTTAATAGAAAATTTAAACATTTATAAGAGTTGAAGTCATCACTTGATGATTAATCTGCTGAATTATTACTTCAAAATAAGGATCAAAATTAAGGTATGAGAAATTTTTATTCAAAAATTAGAATATAGTAATGACATTAATTACTATAAAGAATTCTGGAGATTTTATATACTAAATGAAATGACTATAAAAAAAGTGAATGAATTGCACTCATAAAATTAAAAATTACATGAATTAATAGCTGAAATTGATGTAATTATATATAGATATAGCATAGAAATTATAACAAGAATTGCATCAAGCTTTGAGTTATCGACATAAAAAGAAAAATAGACGTACTTCTTAAGAGATAGAGAAATCTTTTGTATGTCCATATGAGAAATGTAATAAATAGTATGGGAGTGATGTTTCTTTAAATTTACATATTAAATTGAAACATGATGGAGGGAACAAAACTGACAGAGAAAAATTTGCTGTAAAATCTGTTATTTATTGATTTCATTTAGAAAATGATTATTGAAGCACAATAAAATGGAGAAACTATTACTGATTTGAATATCAACATAAAATTCCCTCCAGGATACTTGGATGTACAATTTATTTAATTGTAGTAATTCAAAAATCAATTTATGTTAAGTTAATAAAATTAGTTAAACTAAGAAAGATAATCAATCGAACAAGATTGAAAAAATTGAATTAAATATAATATAATTTTCGTTTTTGCTAATCAAAATTTAAATCAATCTAGTTTTTTTCATTAAAACATTCCAAATATGAGACCACTCCATTTTAACTTTTATAAATTAATATTAAAATATAATATGAATTTAGGAATAGATTAAATAATGCCTAGTTTGTAAAATAGCATTTTGAATCACACTGATTAAATTATTTTAGATGATTGTGTATTTGAATTTTAAAAGTATTTGGAGAAAGTAATTCCAAATTATTTTTCAGTCTCCAAAACAAAACAATTTGTTTTTAAGGATTAAATGATAACAAATGTGATAAGTACATATTTAGATTATTTATAAAAGCTTCACTTTAAAATTTGACAAACCAGTCAGATTTTTTAAAACCTTATGACAAAGAAATAACAATGACAACCCTAAATAAATTATATAAAATAGTATAAGAAATATCAGAGCATGAAAAAATTCGAGTTTTGATAAATCAAACTATTTTGAATATAGAAAGAGATACGAGAAGATAATTATAGGATTTATAAGATTTATATTAATTACTATTCTAGTCTAAATCTTGTGGTAAAATGATGCTATTAAAATAATTTGATTAATATGTAAGAAAATTGGAATAATATACTTATTTTTGGGAAAACCTAATTTTATTAGAAAATTAGGAAAAAACTATCAAAATTGAAAAAAAATCTTTGGTTTAGGAAACAGATATACTCAATAAAATTGAACTTTGGAAAATGATTCTCATTCAAGAAAGAAATAAAACTTCATCTTCTAAAGCTTCCTCGTTAATTTTAGAGCAATAAAAAATCATTTAAACTTAATCTCTATAATAAAAAAATATCCTCAAAGCTTTGTAATAGTATTGTGGATTAGGACTTTAAAAGAACTAATTATAATCAATCTAATTATTTGAAGATCTAGCAAAATAGAGCAATCCTTTAGCTAATGCCATTTTAGGTTAATTAATCTTAGAAGGTCAAATATGTGTAGGAAATTATGAAAAAGTAAAAATACCTTAAAGATTATTTAAATAGGCCTATGAATACTTTTCAGAGAGTGCTGACTAAAACTGTCCAATAGGAATTTATTTTATGTCAAAATTAATATTAGTAATGATATTAGGTAAACTATATTAGGAAGACAAAGTCCAGAATAAAGTATTTGGAGAGGCCTAAAAATCTAGTAGTAAATTCAATAATACAAACAATTCTAGGATAGATGAATGTTAATTTGCAATTTCTATGCTAAAAATAGCTTCCGAGGCAGGAAATGTGGAATCTATGATATATTTAGGGGACCTATATTCATAGGGATACAAATTGGATGATTGTATATAAATTAAATATTTGAAGTTATTTTTGAAAAAGATTACTCAACAGCTGAGATCTATTTCAAAGAGGCTAATAAAAAAGATAGTATAGAAGCCAAGTATAAACTTGCTAAACTTTATTAAAAGATGTACAAAGTTCCCATTTATAAAGTATAATTTTATGTTCAATATTTTATAGAATAGGGTTCAATTAGTCTATCCATTGTTATTGGAGGCTAAAAATAATGATTACTTGCCAGCTTATTATGATTTGGGCAAACTATTAATTGAAGGTATGAAGGATGATTTTAAGCCTAATTAAATAATGGCAGAATTAATTTTGGAATAAGGAGCAATGAAGGGTAATTAAGATTGTGCTAGACTTATTCTAGAAATCAAATATAATAAATTAGTTAATAATAAAATTAACCTATAAGAATTTCTATAATTATTGGATTAATTAGATTAAATCTAGAATAAAGTTGAAAATTTAACATTTTATTATAGAGGGATAATATTATCAAATGGATTGTAAAATGAAAGTAATTCTTAAGTTGCTAACTAATTATTTAAGTATTTAATATGGAATATAAACTAGTTTAGGATCTAATTTAGGATGTAGTAAGTGTAAATAAGAATTGAATCAAGGTTAGAAAAAAGATTTAAATTTAAAGAAGGAAGGATTAGAATAATAAGAAAAACAGGAAAGATTTTAATCAAATCTCGGTTTTGTTTAATAGTTTAAATAAAGTGATTGGAGATTAAGATTTAGAAAATAGAGTATATTTTCCAATCCATATAATGTTTCATAAATAGAAAATGATCAATCAACAATGTACATTTAATATAATTTTGATATTTTAGATAAGCTAGAATGACAGCCAGTATTATTAAAACAATAGATACAAATGATGCGGAGAATAAGAGGAAAAGAGTTATATCTGATTATACAGGATTTTCTAAGCAATAACCTTCAGATTAAAGCATATTGTTGTCTAATTTGAGATTGAATCCATATGATTAGCAATAAATGAATTCAAACCATTAAATTTAAGAGGAAAAGTAGAAAAAATTATCGTTTCTTACAAAAAAAGAAAAGCCAAAGTTTTTGAGACATTTAAGTTAACACGCAATCCATTCTTAATCATAAAATTTACTAAATTTATAAAATGAATGAGAATAGATTGTATTTATTTAATCTCTTTTTATAAATATATTCAAGATATAATATATCTTTTAAAAAATATTATAATAATGAATAAATATTAATTTATTCAAAATAAAAATTTGTTTTTAAAAATATGAATTTATTTTTCAAAGTGTTAGCATTTTTTCTCCTTTCTTATAAATTCTTTCTTATGTTTATTAAGTTTATAGTCCTAAAATTTCATTCATTTCTTCTTCTGATAATCTTGCTTTTTTATAGATAGATGTAAATTTTTGTTTTTGTTTTTCTGATTTTATTATTGGTTTAGTAATTAATTATTTCGTTATTTTAATTTCTTCTTATCTTTTTATCTCTAATACTTATTATCTTTTTCTAGTTGTTATTGCATAAGTCTTAAGATTGGGAGGTTCATCAACAATTTTAATTATTTTATTTTTATCATCAACAATTTTCTCTGTTTTCTTATTTTATTTTTATTTAGATATTTAGACTTATTTTGCTGTTTTAATTTTTATTATTTTAGGTTTAATCTCTTTTATAGGTTCTGTTTATTCTATTTTAACTTATATCTAATAATCTTCATCTTGTTATTTAGTTTATTTCTTAATTTGTTTTTATAAATTAGATTCTTTTTCTTCTTCTTAAATATAACTTTTTTATCTTAGTACATTTTCTATATTAGAAGTTGAACTCTCTTCTATTGATTAAGGACTTACAATTTTCTTTTTTTTTTATTATTTAAATTTAGCTGTACATTTTATATTTTATTATTCAGATTAAGAACAATAATGATAAGAACAATTTAAAAGATCTTAAGAGGATAAAATAAGTTATAAAATATTAGTATTGTATTTACATTAAACTTAATAGTATTTAACTTTGTCACATTTTAAACAAAGAACTTTTTGTTGATTTTGATAAAAACATAAAAATATTTCGTCTTTACATTCTGTACAAAAACAATGTTTTCTCATTGAATAATTGATGTTTAAAGAATAAATCTTCTTCTATTTTTGCAAATCACTTATTAGTTAAAGTTCTTAAGTTACAAATTCTTAAAGGTACATTCTCAATTATTTGTTGTTGTGATGAATAAAAATATCCAAAAATAGGTTCTTTAAAGGGAGGATTGATTTTATTTAATATTTGATATTGATCATTTATCTCCTCATCATTTGTTAATATGAATAGGAATTCATTGCCAAGAAGCTCCAACCAGTTGTTATAGCTGTAGATAAACATTCAATTTAATAAAAGGATCCTGCTCCTAAAATGATTAGATCACCAGGTTTTTATATGAATCTTTTATAAGGAATATCATATTTCTTTAAAATATCTCTTTACAAGTATTAGTTACCTTCCTCTAAAATAAAATGTCTTTCTTTTTATAACAACTTTTCAATATGTTCCTGATCAATAACAATCCATAAACAATCTCCAGGTCCATGATTTAAATTTAGTAAATTAATTGCTCCAGGTTCTTGTTTAATTCCCTACCAACTTCCTGGACTCATAATATTGATTGAAAGTTAATTGACATTTGTTATTCTTGTTCTTAAATAACTTAAACCATCATCTTTTAAAAAACATTAAGGTAAATATTCATATAATTTATTTGATTCTTCTTCCCAATCCTCAATTTATAGGTCAAATAATGAAAGTAATTTATTCGTATTATATTGCTTATTTTTGTAAAAAAAATCATTTGGATCTCTTAAATAGTCAAGGTATTTTGATAAGCTCATTGAGAAACTTGATTTTTCTGAATTTTCATGAGATGCTTTGAGTTATTGAGTTATAGTAATTGTTTCTGAACCATGATTTTATTTTATATTTTATAATCTAAAGTATCCTCTATTTAATTGGTCCATAACATCTTATGGGATTTCCCACTAAAAAACAGGTTGATCAACCCAATCTGATATTGAAAGATGAAATCTATTAAGAGGGTCTTTAATTTTAAGTGGTTAAGTGTTAATATATGGATCTAAATATTAGTCTAATAGCTCTTTAAATTTTGATGGATTAGGTTATTCGTCAATTGGCTTTGTTAAGTTCTCGATGTTAATTTCTTCTAAAAGTACTTATTATTCAGGAGAAGGGGAATAGTGAAAATTTACAAATTCCGCAAAAAGGTTCATGTTTTATTTAAATTAGTTATTGTAAATAAATTTTCATGATGATATTAAAATAAATATAATAAAAAAATGAACTCTTAAATTTAGTCAAATCCTAGATAAGAGTCATTATTATAAATGCTTCATTATTCAGTTTGTCCCTTATTGAAAGATAAGAACCAAAAATAATTAGAGAAATAGTTTTACTTATTGAATAATTATCATCGATCTTATTCATTATTTCTTCTCTTTAGCATTCTAGAAAACCTAAATATTTACTTTAAGACCACATCATTAAATCTTATTCAATATTGGACAACTATGTCCCATAAATACAAAATCTGAATTTTTAGATATTATTACTGAGTCTAAAACAACATAAAAATGAAACTCATTTGTTTTTTTCACTTCTATTTAAAATGTATTTTCTCTCTTTCATTGAACATAATGTTGGTCTTAAGAATACTATTCTAATTTATTTCATGAGTGGAATCTCTTCTACTCTATTTTAAGCCATAGTTAGTTAATAAGTTGGGTACATAAAAAGATTATTTTAGAGTTTGTGGTTCCTTTCATATAGAGAAAATCGATTTATGTCTTATATTTGCAATAATAAATGTTATGTAAATATACAATATTATAAAAAAGAAAAGTGTTTTGCATAATAATTATAATTTTATATTGATCTTCAAGTGAGTCATGATTATAGTCTCATTTTAATCAAAGTAGCTATTGTATTATCTGTGTTGTATATTACAAGTCTTAAATTTTACGCAATTTTAATGCAAGAATCTCTATTATTTGAGTTTTAATGCATGATATTTGGGTAATACTTTTCATATGGCTAAAAAAAACAACATTAATTGCAATTAACTAATAGCACTAAATAAACCTAATTGGTTAAATATATTTATTTATATGCCTCAGTTATTATCATCAGTATAGAATTGATTGTATTTTTCCTATTAAAAAATCTTATCAAAATTTGAGTTATGTTAGATAATAGTTCATTTGAATTGAATTGATTGCAATCAATAATTATGTAATGATATACTACTTAAAGAACAATAAATAATTATATCTCTATGAATGTCAAATTCAAACATTCTTTGTTTTAAAATGAAAAAATCTTTAGATTAACTAATTTATCAACAATATTAAATCAATTTTAATAGATGTTATATTAAAGCAAAAAATAGCAGAATTTTCTAAATTTTAAATTCTTTTTCTATTTAGTTATTAAAATTGCTGGGTACTTGATCAAGCCTATCTCTATCTAGTAATTTTTCAATAATATATCTTTAAAATTATAATATACATCTGTTATTGATATAATCTTATACTTTTTTATGATTATTTATAATATAATGGTTAGAATTAGTAATTTTGAATATATATATATAATATAAGAATTATAAAGCTTATAATGCAAAAAATTGGATAAAACTTTGAATTAAAAAAAAAGTTAGGATCTGGTGCTTTTGGAGACATATACCTAGGAGTTAACAAAAAAAATAACATTGAGGTAGCTATTAAATTAGAACCTGTTACTTCTTAATGTCCTTAATTGAGATATGAACATGAAATCTATAAAAGATTATTAGCTGATAATTAAAGTATCGATAGAGGAATACCACATGTATATTACACATCAGAAGAAGGTGGGTATACATTTATGGTTATGGATTTATTGGGGGCATCTTTGGAGGAGATTTTTGTGTCAAAGAAAAAAAAGTTCTCTTTAAAAACAGTTGTTATGATAGGATTGCAATTTTTAGAGAGAATCGAATTTGTACATTCAAAAGGTATAATTCATAGAGATATTAAACCTGATAATTTTTTAATTGGGAAACTTAACAAACAAAATAAAATATATATCCTAGATTTTGGATTGGCAAAACGATTTATTAAAGAAAATGGTCATATTCAATATAGGGAATCAAAGACTTTGACAGGAACAGCCAGATATTGTAGTTTAAATACTCATTTAGGTGTAGGTAGTGTAATTGTTTAAATATTGCTTAGAATAAAGTAGAAGAGATGATATTGAATGTATGGCATATGTATTATTTTATTTTTTGAAATCAACTTTGCCATGGTAAAATATGAGAGCAAAAAATAAAAGAGAAAAGTAACCTTATGTTTTATATTTTTAGATATGAAAGAATCATGGAAAAGAAGATGACAACGACATATGATGAATTATGTAAAGGAGTCCCAAAAGAATTTGGTTAGATATTAAAACATGCAAGAAATCTAGAATTTGAAGAAGAACCTAATTATAAATATTTGAGAGGATTACTGGAAAGTATTTGTTAATAGGAAAAAATTACTGTTGATTATTAGTTTGATTGGTGTAAATGAGATTTTATTAAAAATAATTTTTATTATTAATTTTTGTTTGTTATAACTAAATTTCTTTAACATGCGTTCACCATCACTTTTTTCACCATAAAAGCAATCCCGATATGAAAAATCAAACAGTACAGGTGGATTTGCTACTTTCTAAGCTACAACATAAATAAATACAAAACAATTGCAAGACTACAGAAGAGATGTTAGAACAAATGTCTCGTCCAGAGAACCATTTGCTTAGCCATAAGAAAAATCATCCTCCTTATTTGCTTCTTGGAGCAAAGCAGAAAAGGCAGTATTGTAATTATTTATGTTAACATAATTTTAGAGAATAATAGAAAGTAGGTAGAAAATCACCAAAAAAATAAAGACTATTTGGAGGATTAAATTATGAAGAAATCTTTACTAGTAAAGGACCATAAACAAAAAATAATAAAGACAAAGTTGAATAATTATTTAAGAGATCACCAACAAATGATTACTTTGATAATTCATTTACATCATTCCCTAAACCTGCTAGACAAAATACTCTTGGATCAGGATATAAAGATTCTCCATAAAAATCAAAAGAAAAATTAGAAAGATTCAAAAATTGGGATAATCGTTTAGATGTTTAGTTGATTCTCTAAAATAAATCAATCACAAATAAGATTTCTTCAACTGGAGACAAACCAGGATTTTATAAATATGTAAATGAAGCTTAAAAAGGATTATTTGATAACAATCAATCTAATTTTCTTTATTCTAAAAGTAATAAGAATAATCTTTTTGATAATCAAAAATAATCCTTTTCTTTTAAAGACACATTCAATGCTCCTAAATAACCTATTTTTTAAAGAAATCACTCTCCTTAATTATCAAATAGATATGTTGAGAAGTTCCCCTTGACAGATATAGTTAGGATGACTTCTCATTTCTAATCTTTATCAACATAAGAAGTTAATTCAATCCCAAGAGGGTATTAAATCTATAAATTATATTTAGATACATATCCGAGCTTAATAATTTGGCTGATATTTTATAAAGAGTAGTCAAAAGATCAAATAATATTAGTTGATATATTATATTATATTTACTGTATAATTATTAATATTAAATCCAAAATTCTGATGAATAATTTAAATAATCAAATCAATTAGCAAGAACATGAACTATCTGTTCTTTCTGTTTCTTTTTTTGGATTCTCAATTTCTTCTCTCTTTTTCACCATATCTAACATTACTTAGAATGAAGCTGAAACTTATCCATCTTCCAAATAAATAATATCAGCAATAGTAACATCTAAAGATTATGAAGTATTTGTAACCATTTCTTCATGATTTTTCATAATAAATGCTAATAAAATAGTAATATCTTCAGTTGCTTCCTATCCTCCCCAAGATTCATATAAATCTACTTTTTATCCACTTGCTGCATCTTTAATAGCTTTAATTTTATCTTAAACCCAATCAATCATAGAGTCTAATCTAGATTTTTATTTTTCCACTCTACCTGCTTCAAAATACTTTCTTTTTCTAGATGCTATTAATTAAGCAGCAGTAGCAACTAACATACTCCAACCTTCTTTATCATCAGCATCTTAATTTTTCATAATAACCTTTAAAATAGCATTTCTTTTCTTTTCATCTTAAAATTTTTCATATTCCTAATAAACTGCTCCTATTGCACCATTAATTGCAGAGAAAATAGCTCCAAATATTGGAATATTAGCACCAAAATCTAATACTGCTTATGTAACTTTAACTGCTACTTTAGTAGTTGTTCCAACAGAATAACCATTTTCTTGATTAATAATCTCTGTACTTGCAATCTTTTAAGCATCACAATAATTAATGAATGTCCAATAAAATGCTTTTGCATAATTATAACCTTCTACATATTCTGTTCTCCATTTTGCATAGTTTTCTTTCACTTTTGCTACTTTATCAATACCAATAACTTTTATACATTCCTCTAATTCATCTATTTTCTTTTCAATTCTTTCTATTTTTATATCTTCTTTTTTTTATTCTATTTTAATTTCTTCAACTTTTTCTTCATTCTTTTTCTAAGATTATTCAGCCTCAGCCAATAATTGCTATATTCTTTATTTCATTTCTTCCTTTGATACTTTCTTCACTGTTGTTTATTATTCTTTCTAAGCCATTTATGCTAACTCAGCTGCATTCTAAGCATCAATTTCTGACTAAATCTTTTCTAATTCCTATTAAATTCTTATAATCTCAGGATCTTATTAATTTTATTTAGCCAAAGCCTCTTAAGCAGCTTTCTTTTCTCGTTCAAATGCATTTTCCATCTCCATAATCTTATGAACTCCTGACTTAATGTATTATAATTATTTTTCACTTAAATCAGCTACATTCTCAGGATTTTCAATTAGAGTTGAAACTAATTTCAAATCTGTCATAGCCTCCTATCTTTTTGATAATCTTATATAAAGCATTGCTCTATTTGTTAAACTTAAAACAGCTTTAGGATTTAATCTTAAAGCATTATTAAAACAATCAAGTGATTTATCAAATTTTGGTAATTTTAATGATAAATAAGCTTATCCCATATTACTCCAATATCCTGGATCTTATTATACTTATAATGCTTTTTAATAAAATTCAATTGCCATTTCAAAATTTTCTTATGCATAATATTCAACTGCTAAATTTGAAATAGCATGAGTATGGTTAGGATTAATGTTTAATAATTCTTAATAAGCCTATATAATTTATTCTCTTCCACGTTTTAATCCTTTTAAACTTAATGCTTTACAATAAAGTGCTTCTTATTTTAATGGATCAGTGTTAGCAGTTACTATTTTTAAAAGTTCCTCTGCATTTGCTAAACAGTGTTCATAATCATGTTTTTTTTCACATGAAATCATTTCATTCTATAAAATTGTGGCTATGCCTCTTTGAATATCTTAATCATTTGGATCTAATTTCTAAGCCTCTAAAAATGATTTTTTAGCTTCTTCATTCTTATTCAGATTAGTTTCACAAGCAGCCTTATTTTTCCACAATATCAACATTTTATTTTTCTCTTAAGATGGCATTTTTACTAGTTTCTCATATATTTCTAAAGCCTTTTCATAATTTTACTAAGCAAAATAGATTTTACTAAGATTCCCTTAAGCAGTAAAGCCATTAGGAGTACCTTCTCCTTTGCTGATAGCTAATAATAAAATCTCAATTGCTTTTTCTGTCTATTAAGGTTGACTGTTCATTAAAGCATGACCATAATTTGCCAACACAGCCTAATCAGTCTTATCTTTTTGAATCTCATAAGCATTTGAAAAGAATTCAGCAGCCTCATTAAATTATTATAATGCCATATGAGCTTAAGCTTTCATTCCATAAAGAGGGAACTTTTATGTTGGTGGAATGTTTAATGACAAGCCTTATTGTGCTTGATTGATAGCTTCATTCCAATTCTTTTTGGCAAGATAGCAATTTGTTTTATAAAAAAATCTCATGATATTGTTTTCAGGTATGGAATCAGCTAGTTATATAGCTTCATCGAATAATTGAGCCTTAATTTTTTAGTCTAATTGCTCTTTGATAGTAGCCATAATAAATCAATTAATAATGATTTTTTTAAGTTTGTAATGGTTGGTTATAAAATTTGTCGGCAGTTATTATTTTTTATATTATATCATAATCTGATGAAATACTAAATAAGGAATAAACTTAAATTTAATAAATACTCTTTAATGACTAACCAATAGAAAGGAAATATGTAATATTTAATAAATTTCAACATATAACAAGTAATAAATATAGCATCAAAATAGGAATTTAGATTTTCTTGAAGAAACATTAATATTTTGATTTATTTATTAATCTTAAAGTTAATAGTGAAGATGATAGATATATTTAAATGATTATAGATATTTTAAGAAGTACTTTGCTTAAAAACTAAATTTAAATATAATTCATAATGTCAATTAAAAATACTTTTTTATCAAGAACTTAGATCAATAATTATTATAACTTAGATTGTTATTTTAATTATTTCTATAAATAAGGAAGAGGGAACAATTGTTTATGAATGTGTCTAATGAACTGAAACTTATAGATAATATAGGTTCAAATTAAATTGCAAACTGATGATGCCACAGGTACTATCTGTACATGAATTTAGTTCATTTCATTTTTCATAATTGTGTGTACTGGAGTTTCATTCAAAAGGACTTAATTTGTAGCAACACATTGCAAGTTAAATTGATCAGGACCCAAATCAACGAATCTTAGTGTTATGAGTACCTTGAAGCGATTGGTAATTTACTTTAAGATTTTCTACATTTTAATTGGGATCAATGTCTAATTAAAATTGTTATTCGTGGACTGAATGATGGTGAAATCTTTCTGAAACAGAAATAATAATAATCATTTTATATTAAATAAAATAATCATTATATAAATTTTCTAATAAAGTGTTGTGAATGAAGACTCATTCAATTATTTATGATAAACGAATTCTTAGATTTTTGTCAAAAGAATGATGGACATGAAAGAAATAGACACTTGCCAGCAAGAAAAAAATGGAAAGAAGTCGAAGATGAATTATTATTAAAAGCAATAAGAAAATATGGAACTTAATGGACTAAAATTTAAGATGAAATTCCATCTAAAGACTCTAGATAATGTTAAGCAAGATGGAAAATACTTAAACATGTATATATAATTTAATAATATAAAAAGAAAGAAGAAACATTAATGAGATTAGAAGCCTTAGCAAGAGAAGAATTATCTGATAAAGATAATTATTTATAAAAAATGAAGAAATAATTGAAATAAAAGAAAGAAATACCTAGAAAATATAATCCTAAATTTGATTATAATGAAGATTCTTCAAGTGAATCCATGCATTTATAACAATTTTAAGAAGCATTAGCTAAATAACCAAATAAATTATTACAAATTCAATAATAATAATAATAATAACAATAGAAAAGAGAATAATATTAGAAATAAGTATAAAATTAATATTAGAATGTTTGGAATGCAATGGATGATAAAATGTTATGGACAGCTTATAAAATATACAAAGGTGCATGGAATCAAATAACTCCTAGATTTTAAGAGAAAAATCCTCAAAGCTGTATAGATAGATATTAATATGTAATTACATAATAATTATTATAAATAGTTGTTGTAATAAAAGAAAATCAAATTGTAGGAAGATGCTTCATCAGTTGATGTAATATCATCTGTAAATGATTTGAATAGTTCATAAGAAGGATCGGAATAATTTGATATCTCTGTTAGTGAAGATGAAGATTCAACAGATTTATAAAGGTCTGATTGCAAAACATTATAAACAAAATAATAATAATAATAATAATATAAAGGAGTTTACACAATATAACAATGTCATACAAATATAGAAAGAATTTTGAAATCATTTTCCAATCATAATTTAGATACTCTACCTGGTATACGTGAATCGATAGTCAAACTTATATTGACAGATTGATTAATTTTGTTTTATATATATTATATCTCATCTGAAATATATTAAACTTCTTGCTGTTAATCCTTCAACAACAGAAACATCCTCCTCTTATTTTACCCAATAATCAACAAATAATTATTTTTATTCTGCATTATTAATATCAATCTTGATAAATTGATGATAATCATATGCAACATGATCTTTCTAATCAAAATAATTAATTATTCATACCCATTCTTTTGGAACCTCTGTTCCTCTCCATAACCATGCACCTCTTAATTCTAAATTTGGTTCATCTCCATATACTCCATGAATACCAAAGGCATATTTTCTGAAATTTTAATCAAGTCTTTAATTAATAAATCCTTTCATTAAATTATTTGTCAAAATTAATTTCTTTCCTTCATTCTCTGATTTATTATATTTGACTAACCATAATGACCATCCATTCAAATCAACTGTACTGAATAATGTCTCCATATTTTTTTAAATATCCTTTTCAGCAAAGAAGATTCTTTTATAATCATCAATATTAAATGTTGATGGTGGTAATAAATCAAGTGGATTAACTTCCTTCTTCTTTGGTTAATCATCATCATCACCCTCTTATGCTTTTGGTTTAGCTTATTCTTATTATTTTGGTTATTCCTTCTACTTTGGTTATTCTTTTTATTTCTCTTATTTCTATTCTTATTTCTTCTCCTTCTTCTCCTCTGTTACTTATGGAAAAGCTTTCTTCAAAAATCTTGGTCTTCCAAAATACTAATATATATTAATATCAATCTATACTTCTCTCCATTCTGGTAATGAATTTACTTCACTTAACCATTTCAATAATTGAGGATATTTGTTTCTTTCCTCTTCTCCAATCAAGTATGTGAATACAAATGTTGAAACTTATGCCAAAGCAACATCAGCTACTGTGAGTGTTTCTCCTGTTATAAATTTGCTTTTGCCTAATTAAGTATTGACAATGCTTAAAGTATTGGCTATTGATGTCAATGAATTCTTTTGTTAAGTTTAATTGACAGGTGTATAACCTAAGACTTATAAAGCAACTACTATGGCTTCAGTTTCTAATTCATTTGTAGTAACATCTAACCATTGATCAACCAATCCTTATTAATATTGGGATGTTCTATATTTAATGTAATTAAATACCCATATAATCCTTGAGAATGTCTAGCAAGGTACCTAAGAATAGCATTGCTTTCAAATATTGATCCTTCTGTAGTTTCCAATACTGGGACTTTTCCAAATGGATTTAATTTCAATAATTCCTTGATTGTATTTTCATTCAATTAAGTATCAACTAAATCTACTTAAACTTTGGCTAATGCTGCTGTGACCAATATTTTATTTGTTCTACCGTGACCTAATGGAGAATGTAATTTATTAGACATGAATTAAAGATTTAATTTTAATTTTGCTTTTTAGAACATTACATATAAATAATTAAAAGAAAGAATTATTTATTATTTCTTATAAAATATGATAAGATTATTTTGATAATAATATTTAAAAATATGATACAACATTATGATAATCTTATTTAGTATGTTTTAAGTATTATTATTATTTTAAATATTTACTGTCTTATTTTATATAAATTAATTAATAACAAATATCTATTTAAAACTATATGTTTTAATAATATTATTGTATATTATTAAAAATTATGAATGACCATATTATATGCAATACGCTATATTTTCTATAAAAATGTCAACTTCTTCTAAGCCAAATAGAAGGTAAATAAGAATGGATCAATGAGATAAATGAATGTTAAAAGGAATTAGAGCTCCATAAAGTTAATCATCCACTTTATGAGTATTGTTTACTCTTCATTACTGAAAAGATTATACAACCATTTTTGTAAGACTTAGACACTCTATTTAATTGTCAAGATGTTGTTAAGGAAATAAAAAAATATGAATTGAATTTTAATTATGTAATCAAAAGACTTTCATTAGTAATATACACATATCTATAATATATAGATAAAAGAGTTCATACCAAATGTAGTGAAGGTACCATTAGATGATTTATTCTGTAAACCTTAAACTGATGATGAATGGATTTAATTAAATAGATATATAGAATATGTTAATGTATAATATTTAATTTAAAATAAGCTAGATGATCCATAATCTTTATCTAAATAATTCGATTAATTTTATGATTACATTGCTATGGGAGCAGCTTATTGTACTTTAGGTTAAAAGTATTCAAACACATTAATAAGTTTGATTGTTTAAAATGTTGGTGGGGCTGCAATGTTAATTAAAAAATAGACAGCAAGAAATATAAAGACTAAAGAAATCACAAATCCATCACTTTCATTTGTAAAGGGATTATGGAGTATTTAAAATAATTCAACATTTTTTAAGAATTTTATGAAATTTACTAATTGTAAGATAAAATCACATCTAAAAATTCATGTTCCATTTTTATTTGATGATTAATAATTTAAATATCATCATGATAATAATACTTATGTTTTAGAGAAATTTAATGGTTTCAAAATGGTAGATGATCTTTACAATAAACTACAAGTTAAGGAATTATTATAAAAATCAAAATAATAAAAAATTAAAGTGAGAATTATATCAGCAAATAAAGTGATTTTAAATAATAATATTGATTATTCCTAATTAGTATAGAAAGTAATTGAAATCAGTTCAGAACATCATTAAATAAGTTAAATAATTTAATAAAATAATAAGATTACAAAAATAAAAAAAGTAGTTTTACATATTCATGGGGGTGGATGGGTAGCCATGTCATCTTTTAGTCATCAATCTTATACAAGAAAGTGGGCTAATTATCTAGGAGATGATGCTATTATATTCTCTATAGATTATAGATTAGCTCCTGAATATAGATACCCTTATGCATTGGAAGATGTTTGGCAATTATATTTATGGATCATAAATTTTAGTCAATTCTATTTAAATATAAAAGTTGAATAAATAGTTTTAGCTGGAGATTCTGCAGGTGGTAATATGGCATTGGGAATTTGTTTTAGAGCAATAAAATATGGTGTTAGAATTCCAGATGGATTACTAATGGCTTATCCTGCAGTAAATTTAGATTTAACTAAATTTAATCCATATTTATTATAAGGATTGATTGATTAAGTAGCACCAGCAACAGTTTTAAAATTAGCTCTATATGAATATTTAAAAGATACAAATGGCAAACCTGATGTTGATCCATACTTAAGTCCATTGATAGCTGATGATTCATTTTTATTATAGTAATTAAAATTATTAAGTGTTAGATTACCAAAAATGACAATTATGTGTGGTTAATTAGATAGTCTAACTGGAGATACTATAAAATTTGTTAATAGATTAAGAAAGTTAAATAAATAATTTAGAATTCTTATATATAATGGAATAAATCATGGATTTTTGAATTTTGAAGTACCTATATTTGCAGTACCTGCTATAAAACCATTAATAGAAAATAGTTGTGATTTATTAAAATAGTTATTTAATTAATGATATATTATAATCAAGTAGTTCCACAACAATTATCAGAAGGTATTTTATTCTGTTTAATAGGAACAGTTAATATATTTGGCTGAGGTTATTCTTATGTTTTCTTCTCAGACTTTTCATCTTCAATTTCAATTCTTTAACTTGGAATTTCTTCTTCTACATTTTATTATTTGAATTCATATATTTCTAAATATCAATTTTGTACATTATATATACTCCTAATTAATTATTCAAAACATTCTTTCACATTTGTTCCCTCTTTTGCTGAAGTTTCATTATATAACATATTATGTTATTAACATATTTGTTCTACTTCTTCTATAGAAACACATCGATTTTGTGGATTGTCTTATAATAAATCTAATTTGTTCCCTATTAACATAATCATAATTTTATCATCTGTATGCTATATAATCTAGAACTCAATAAATAAATTATACTTCTTAACGCCAACTTAAAACATTATCAAATGAAGTTTTATCACATAAATCATAAAACAACAGAGCTCCCTCAGATTTACGATAATGGGCTGTTGTAATTGCTTTGTATTTTTCAGCTCCAGCAGTATCCCAAATAACAGATTTCACAATTTTGTCCACATCTGCAAGTAAGATAGATTAGGCTGCATATTCTACTCCAATAGTAGGTTATGATTATTTTTTTATAACATTTTTTGTTAATCTAATTTGAATTTAAATTTCTACCTAATCAAAAAACTAGTCTTTCCAACACTTGAATCCCCAACTAAAATAACTAACAATAATAGAAATAACTATACTTTTATATAATTCATCATATTGTGCTTTGGGTTCTGTCATATTAATAAATTTATAATAATTAAATAATTGATCAATTTATTAAACTAAACTTATCCATCATCTCAATAAATTCATTATAATCGATCTCTCCATCCCCATTCTTATCAGCTTCCTTAATCATATCATCCCAATACTTTTCATCTATTATTTTTTCACTCTCTAAAAAAATAAACAAAAATATTATACTTCCTAAAACAGTCTGTAATTCGTGTTTGTCTATCTTTCCACTTCCATCTAAATCCAACATCTTAAATGCCTAATATAATTTCTCTTCCTTCATATATAAAGATTTCTCCATTGTAGCTGCCAAAAACTCTAATAATTATAATAATACATTAATACCTGTATAATTAATTGTTCCATTTCCATCAGTATCTATACTCTTAATAATATTTCCTAATTCTTTTGCTTATACATCACTCATTCCTATTAAACCTTCTCTTAGCTCATCTATTGTAAGTACTCCATCTCCATTCTTATCCAATTATTTAAATAATCTATTTTAATACATTATATTACTTTCCTAAATCAGCAATTTCCTATTCATTTAATTAAGAAGCAATAAATGTTAGAGCTACCTTCTTAAGTTTATTACTGCCATTAAAATTTTTCAATTATCCAAAGTTTAGTTTTAATTCTATAAATTTATTAATTTATTGTACATTTTGTATTTTTACTACCATCCTTCATCCATTTATGTTATATCACTTATGATGCCTTGTATCTCTTTTCTGGTGTTGTTATCATATGTGATATTAAATCCTTAGCTGAATCACTGACTTATTTCAATTCAGGTATTTCAAATGTATATTCTCCCTTCTATACAGCATCCAATATCTCAGGATCACTGTCACCATAAAAGGGAGGTACTCCAGATAATAAAATGTATAGAATAACTCCTGCACTCCAAATATCACAAGATTCATCATAACTTCCCTTTAATACTTCAGGTGAAATGTAATATGGAGTTCCTGCCTTTGTTTTCATTGTAACCTTTTGATTTCCAGATGCTTTTTAACTAATTGGATCTTCAAACAAAGTACTCAATCCAAAATCAATTACTTTAATTGGAGAATCATCAGCTTTAGTTAAGAATAAAAAGTTTTCTGGTTTAAGATCTCTATGACATATACCATTTGTATGACAATAATTTAGAGCCTAAACTTTAATAATTAAATCTTACTTGCATAATCTAAAGAAAGATTTCATGAGCTTCGGCTTCACTGAAGTATCCTTTATCCATAATACGATCGAACAATTCTCCACCTTCACATAGTCTTTATAATTAATATAAAATCATACTCCATCACCAAATACACGTTTCTTTGATCCTCGAAAGTTTCATATAATTTTATGATATTAGGATGATCTAATTATCTCAGTATATCAATTTCCTTTTTGAAACGATCAGGATTTTTCACTTTGCTTTTTGGGATCACTTTCACAGCTCTCTAATTCTTAGTACCCTTCAGTGTTGCTTTCACTACACTTCCATAAGTTCCAGATCCAATCACCTTTTTTAAATTGATATCATAAAATTATTCAATTTTTCCTTCATGTGTCATAATAAACCATTATTTTTTCAGAAAGACCTCTTAATCCATGATATTTTTATTATTATTTTTAGATTTATATATTTAATTATTAATAAAGTGCATATATATCTATTTATTATATCTAACCTTTTTTTAAGATATTTCTTTTCATTTTATTCATATTGACAATACTAAAAATTTGATTGGTAGAATTCCTATTAATCATGCTTAAATTACTTAGAGCATCATAAAATAATTTTTTATTTTATATAAAAATATCTATAAAAAAAATGATGAAATCATATTTGATAATATTATTCTAATTCATTTCTTTTAAGAAGAATTTACAAATCATTTATTATTTGACTATTCATTCTATTTAGTTCCTTATTAAACTTACTTAAAATCTTACAAATAAAGATATATAACTTCTTAATCATTTTTATAAAGATTCTAGAAGAAATACATTCATAGAATTTACTTAAATAGAAAATTGATCAATAGATTTTTTTTTACCTATTTTTATATTTGAAATATTAACATAGACTTTCTTATGTTAAAGACAATAATAAAGAATAATTTATAGATTTTAGTATATGATTTAATTTAATATTTAATTTATCATAACTTTTTAAGTATTTCCTTCATATGAATAACTCTTCTATTGTTTTAGGAACCATACACAATTGAAGGGTCATATTTAGGTTTTGGAATAGAAAATATTGTAGTGAATTAACCTTTATGTTTTACTGTTGACACACTTTATTTGGATTTTTTATATTCAAAATCAACTATTTAAGCAATTGACAGTTTCATCTTATCCTCATATTCTCTATAATTTTTGCATAGTTCTGCTTTCGAATTAACTGATTTAACTCTTGTTCTTAAATTAAATTTCCTTTCTCGAATTGCTAAACTAACAATAGATTTTTCTTATTCTGTTAAATCACTTGTTGGTAGTTCTTTTTCTATTTTATTGTAATCTAAGATTGTTTTAACTCTTTTTCTTTAATACATAATTTTTATTATTATAAAAATTAACAAGCTATCTCAATTATTTTTTTTCAGTTGTTAATGGATTATATATATATAAATATGAATAATAATAAAATGCAATCTAGTAGTTAAAATGATATTAATAAATATAAGAAAAGACATATCATTATGATGAGGAAATACCTTTCAAAAATCTTAATCCCAATCTACTTATTAAGTGCAAATCATATCTGGACTAGTATCTCTTCTGATCATATCTAGAAAAGGGATGTCTTCATAAATCATCTACTATAATTTTGGTATATATGGTGGTTTTATTTGAAAAGTTTCTAATTCTTCCTTTAATGTTAAGAATAAAAGAATTACCCACTAAAAACCATCAAACCAAGGATGAACTTTTAAAGCATCAAAAGAACCTCCCAATCGTAATTCTGGTGTTCTATTTGTTAATTAATCTATTAATTTTATTGCCTTGAAATCTTTCAGAATTTGTGGATATTCTAATTTTCCATTCAAAATAGCTTCCTCAATTATAAATCTAAATAACTAAAATAATTACGGGTCGTCTTCTTCATCTCCAGCAAAAGGTACTTCTCCACACATTAGTTCATAGAAGCATATTCCTAATGACCATAGATCTGTTGAAAAACTATAACCCTTTCCCTTAATAATTTCAGGAGACATATAATGTGGTGTTCCAACAAGAGTATAAGTTTTTGAAGCTCTTGATTTTAATACTTTTGCAGTACCCATATCAATCAATTTAATATAACCATTTTCCATAACAATAAAATTTTCAGGCTTAACATCCCTATATATAATATGTGAGGAATGTAATTTCTCCAAAATATTTATCATTTAAGCAATATAAAATTAGGTTTCATAAGAATTCAATAATCCTATTTCTCTGATTACATGAAATAATTCTTTACCCTTAATATACTCTGTTAATAAGTATATGTAATTTTAATCCTTAAATGATCTATGAAAACAAACTAAATTTGGATGATTAAGTAATTCTAAAACTTATTTTTCATTTTTTATATGTCTTTCTGTATTATTAGCAATAACATTGACTTTAGGTACACATTTCATGACATGCATATTTTATTATGGAATATCCTTAACTAAATAAGCATTTCCAAAGGTTCCTTCTCCTAATAACTTTAATCCAATAAAATCTTCTAAAGTAAGTAATGAATAATTGCTTTTTTATCTTTTTTCCAATAAACTAGAAGAACCAGCACGATCTTTATTTTTCTTAACAACAGTATCCAATTCTCCACCAATACATTCAAAGAATTATTTAAATGGAAGTTCTGACAATGTAGTTTTCCTATTAGTTTTAATATCATGATTAATTTTTCGTTTTTGTTCATCCATTTATAAATATTTATCTCCAAATAATTAACCATTATTAAATAATTGACCTTCAAATTCTAATTATCCATCGAGAATGATAATTAATTTATCCACAAACTAATTCATTTTGAAGATGCAATCATTACTCTCATAACTTTTAATCTTAAAATTTGAAACTATCTTTTGTATTTACATTTTAGTTAAATCTCTTAATTGAGGATGTTTCTCAAATGCCCACTTCTGCATATTGGTGTAAATTATTAACTATGTGACTAAATAATACAAATTATGTACCTGAATCTTCTCTCCCAATATAGTTGTGATATCTTCTCTACTTAAAGATAAAAGATTGACATCTGAATTATAAGCTTTGACAGTTGCACCTCTTACACAATTCCCAAATAGAGCTTATTCACCAAAAGAATCTCCTTAATTCATATATCTTAAGAATTGTCCTTATTTAGTTACTTGAACAGTTCCTTTTTAAATTATATAAAATGAATTAGCCATATCACCTTCATTTACTATAGATTCTCCTTATTTAAATTTCAATGTAATTAAGACATTTGCAATACTATCTCTTTATTCTTCAGTCATGAAATCTATAATCACTTAAAAATTTACCAAAAAATTTTACTTAGACCAAAAATTCTCTATTTATTTCATATGCTTTTTATTATATATCTTCAACAGCCTTTCTAAATTTATTCCTTTCTAAAACCCAAAATCCACAATCTCCAATTGCTATTACAGTAGCTGAACGAGGAGCATGATACATCAAAGCCAATTCTCCAAAAAATTCAGATGATTTTAATACTCTCTTTTTCTCTTCATTTATTATTATCTAACATTAGCCTCGTTCTTCATGAATAAGTTATCAAAATCTACCAATTATGAAAAATAATGTTGCTTTATCTCCTTGCTTAAAAATAAACTCTTAATCTTTTGATGTAACATAATACATTTCCTCTATTAATTTTGCTCTATATTATCATTATCATTACTTGTCATTATTATCTAATTATGCAAACATAAAATGATTTCCAAATGCATTCAAAATCATTTGAAAGTCAAATGGACTTTTTTCCCTTTGTTACTTAATT